GGCGGAGGCTCCACGCCGATGCCTTCAGACTTCAAGTTCAGTTCATGTTGCCTGTGGGGGAGCAGTCAAGAGTCGTGACCCACCCCACGATAATGATCAGAATGTGGTGTTTATACACTCTACACCTCTCCAGCCACCGTACAAGTTGACACTCGCCCCACAGGCCTGTCGCAACAGCCTCACGATACTTACGGCAGACTGTATTCGTTGGTAGATTGTACGATTGGCGTCCAGTCAGTCAGTCAAGCAAGTGCCCGGGCGCTAAGCGCTGAAAGGCAGCGGCAGGTGGGTCTCGGGCTTACAGCAGCCAAAACGGTGCGCTGGCGCTGCTGTCGCCTGTCGGGGACGACATGGTGACCTCGGATCAGCCTAACCAACAGCCCTCCAGTTTGAGGACCTGAAGCCATCCCACACTCCGTCTGCGCTCTTGCATCCTTCTCCATCTTCACCTTCAATCCACTTCCGTCATATGAGCCACCGCTATACTTGTTTCTTGTTCAACCGCAGCGGACCCTCTGGCGCCTACCGAACCACAGGTCCGCCTTGATTACTCCGTCCGAGTCGGGGTATATACTGCCTGGTTCCCCACCTGCGCCCGGTCACACCTTCCATCCCATCCAGTCCTCTCTACGTATCTTCATACATTGCCATCGCGAACACCCAGCCTTAAATCTGCCCCAGTCAGTGCCTGGCCGCCCGGCTTGAAGCTTTGACAGGCAGGCAGGCTTTGACTCGACGTGACTCCGAGACTTACTAGGCACGCATTGGACCAGGCTCGGAAGTCGCTTGGCCAGGTCGAGACAAGGCGAGGTGAGGCCGCTCTCACTCAGTGCGGTCTTTCACATCGCATTGCCGTCATGTCGCCAACCCTAGCCATGTCATATTCAGAGCGCGACTACGATCCGAACCACAAGCCACGCAACGAGTATCATTCCTCAACAGCAGCGACACCTCACGGCGCGGACACAATATCCCCTTCAGCACTTCACCATTTCGAAACGACACCAGGTGGCTCAAGCTCCGCACTAAGTTGCAGTAGTGATCTCGACGAGGACCCCTTCTTAGGCGCGGAACTCGGTGACAGCCACGGACAGTCCTCTCCTTTCGACGACAATTTCGATTTTAAGCCCATCTACGTTGCGCCAAGCACTTCCAACGGCACCCAATCTGCCCAGGATGCGATCGAGTCTCCCTATCCGTTGACGCCTGATCCGTCGGTTTCGATTCACACTGCGTCTCCCCGCAGTGAGCTTAGGGCCGTCACACGACACCACCACATCCACCCTCCCCCTTCCATCTCACCACAAGAGTTGCAGAAGCCTTGGAAACCACAGCAAATCATCGAGCGACCTACACAGCTGACGCCAAGTCAAAGCAGTAGCGCCCGTACGAGCGAAGACGGTCTGGCACCCGCCCGCATGAATATGCCCGCCACCAGTCCCAAGCTGGTCATCTCGGTATGGGATCATGAGCAAGATGTGGCGAACGAGACTGCAGAGCGCCATTTCAGAGACGACGAGTCAATCGCAACCGCTGGTGGGGTCAAATCTGCGGGTGATCTCATCTCTTCAAATGCTACCCGCGATGCCGAGGGCATGTGGCAGCGCGACCCCTCCACTGGCCATGGCGGAATTGACCCTAGGCATCGTGACTCTGAAGAGGCCGAGCAAAACATCCAGGAACTCGCAAAGAGCCGCGAAAGGGACCAGCGCAACGGCGAAGTAGGCCAGTGGCTATCGGCAAACCTTGATGAGCCTTCAGCGCCGCGTGAGAATTCTGAGCAGGACATTCGTGCGATCGAAGAGAAGAATCGTAACTCACAAGACCGAATCCCCATGGGCCAAGACACAGAGAATTGGTTCATACCTGGCCAGACATACTATTCAGGTGGCGGTGGGAAAATGACACAAGAAGACGAGGACATTTTGGCAGCTGATCGAAATTGGGGCGACGCTCCCATCATCCACCGAATCCTGGATGGGAGGAAACCTGGCCAAACCCAGCCTGTCTCGTCTGCCGCAGCCATGGCCAAGTTCGAAAGGCTATGCCGCGACAACGACTCCATCCTATCCCGACAAGCCACATGGGGCACGCGGCGTCGGAGTTTCCACAGCACAGCCTCGGTGGACATGGAAGGGGTCCTCAGTGGTAATCTGTTCAAGAAGCTGTCTCTCACAAAAACACCAGAGAAAACTAGCAAGGCCACGGAGCTTCTTCGAGACATTCGTGGCTTTGTTCGGCGTCCCAGCATCAGTGGTCTTCGCAAGCGGCGGTCCAGCAACGCGAGCAACGTGAGCGACGATGGCCGCGAAGAGCAGCCGCCAACGTTGGCAAAGCGCGACAGCACGGGATCCCCTCATCTAGCTCCTCCGGACCGCACCTCAAGCTGGGGCAAGAACAAGACTCCCAGCATCAACACTGCAATCATGTCCATGGGCACCGGTGCAGCAGCTGTGGGAACACACCACGCTAGGAAGGCGTCAGTCGGCGCAACATCCCCCAGGGGCTTCTTGTCCAGCTTACAAGTAGACAACCCTCTGAAGCGGGCCAGGAGTCGGTCGGAGGTCCCTCGGCCGACATCAGCGTCCAACTTGGACGCAAGCCCCGGACTCGCCGATCTATGGAAGGCCAACGGAGGCGTTCCTGTCACATCAGTGCGACAACCAGCGCCGCCGCAACAGGACCTTGATGATGAAGATGATGACGACGAGGACGCCGACGACCCTTCTCTTGAAGGGGAGGCTAATCAAATCGATACCGTCACACCAAACTTACTTGGATTCCAGCAGCATGTCCTCGCTCTGAATCCATACATGCAAGGTCGGTACGAGTACCTGGTAGATCGCATTGCGCACCAGCAAGTCGTCAGATACAAGTCACTCTTGACCTTGAAGGTTAAACACCTCAACATGGGCGCCAACTGTGCTAACGGTGGACTTTGCATGGCTCTCGGCGGTCAGGCCAAGCTGCTGGAACCGAAGGCTGGTGCGAAGGCAACTGAGGGTCTCGCAATGCACTTTCAGGATGACGAGGGTGAAAATGCCCCTATGGAAGGCCAGATCAACCAGGACAGTTTCCCCAAGGACATCCCCATGCCGCCAGCGCAACAACTGCCAGCCGAATTCGAATGTCAGCTCTGCTTCACGCAAAAGAAATTTAACAAGCCGTCTGACTGGACCAAGCATGTTCATGAGGATGTCATGCCTTTCACGTGCACTTGGGACAGGTGCCGCGATGCCAAGTCATTCAAGCGCAAAGCTGACTGGGTTCGTCATGAGAACGAGGGCCATCGTCACTTGGATTCATGGACGTGCAATGTGGAGGATTGCAGTCACACTTGCTACCGCCGCGATAACTTTCTCCAGCATCTTGTTCGCGAACACAAGTTCGCTGAACCCAAGCTCAAGACGAAAACGGCCATCAAGAAAGCATTTGGCACAGACCCTACCTGGCAAAAGGTCGAGGAATGTCACATTGGCAACCAAAACCGCCCCCAGGATGAGCCGTGCAGATTTTGCGGCAAGACATTCCCTACGTGGAAGAAGCTGACAGTGCATTTGGCCAAGCACATGGAACACATTGCACTGCCCGTATTGCGTCTCGTGGCTGCGAAGGCGAAAGAGATCTCGGCCGACACCATCATCAGCCCGGTGCAAGACCCGCCTGTGAGGACATATCCCGCCGTGAACCCGAACGACCCGTTCCCACCAGTCCACCACCACCACGACATGTCACAGATGTTAGCCAATAGCTCGTTTCAGGACACTGGCTATCAGATGTACCCGATTGTGCCTCCGGGCCAACAGCACAATCAGCAACAAGATTTCTATAGCACACAATACAACGCCATGGCGCAACCATACTCGCAGCCAGCACTAGGTCTGGACTCGGCAATGAATCAAGGATTCAATGGTCACATGCAGACCATGCCCGCCACCTCTGCACCATATGGGTCGACGGCCCAATACATGACGGCAAGCAACAGTGGCCACGGTTTCGAAAATGGTATGGAACCATTTCCCGACCTGCCCAACGACCTCTCGGATGGCGTTGGCCTACATGATGACAATCAGATGGGATCCTCGCTGGGCTTCAACCACATGGTGGATCCGTCCACAGCGAGCGCAAGCCCGTACAGCGGACACAGCTCCCACTCCCCATTTGTCCGGTCGCCGCACATGGGCGCTGACAACTACAACAACAACCACTGGAACAACCAGCACATGCACCAATTCCAATGATTGTATGACGATTAATGTTTCAAGACGATATAGTGGGCCGATTCCCTTGCCGGGCAGGCTATCTACGGCATGATGAAAGCACATGGGAGCATGCAGTTTTGGGGTACACGTCTTCTTGAGGATTGGTTCAAGCCCGCGTACGATACCACCTGTCACGACTTTGATTTTTCCTTCTTGGGCAACCTTTCAATGGCTTGTCGAACTATTACTTTCTGAATAGAGGCGCGGTGTGCGTCAGAGTTACCATACGAGCACAAGTGATGTAACAGATGACTGCGAAAGAAAACAGGGAAACAAGGCGGCTTGTATCACTTCTGGTAAATTCTGTCCATCGCTAGGACAGACCTCGCTGCTTTCAATGTGCCCACTTCCCACGATTACTACATGCCACTCTCCTAGAATTGGACATGTCACGATGAAACGCAGCATGGAGAGCTGTGCGCTTGCTGGAAGCCAATTCATAACTAATAGAACCCAGAAGTCCTATTTTCGGTTCTGCTCAGTAACTGGTCCTGCTTCGTTCGCAGTGCCATGCACTTATAAATGGTGAACGTGACAGAGTAAATTCCAGAAAATCCATAGGAGGCGCAAAGCCTTCCGTGTCTCGGGGAAAGAAACAATACAACAATCAATGCAACCGAGCAGCCTCTCCTCCCCTGCAATGTGTAACGCCCTTGGCAATGTCGAGCAGCGCCCTCCGTGCTCGTCGATTCCGAAGCAAAACGCCTACCCGGTCTCCACGGGTCAAATGCATCATGGTCAATTCAATAAGCGCCCCATGCCTTTTGGTATCGAAGAAGGAGAAACAATATCGCGGGATGCGGGCTGCAATGGCCCTGTCGGTGTAGTCGGCGCGGCCTCGAGCTTGGACTCTGCTGTGCTGTCGGCCCCTAGCTCATTCTCAACGTGCGCAGTGAACGGCTTTGTGGTGGGCTCGATTTTGATGGCAGCCTTTGCTTTGCTTGTATCGTTTGTACTCGTCTTGACAGCTTTGAAGGTGCCAGCAAGCGTGCTAGGTCGAGCTTTTGCGAGAGGCTTGCGGTTGCGCGTAGCGGCTGACTGCAAAGCCGGCGAGGATTTCTCAACGTTGCCTTCGACCTTGGTGAAAGGTAACTTGATTTGTTTGGCTGCGGCAGGCTTGTCGACTTTCTTGGCCTTGGGCTTCGGTTTAGGCTTCGCTTTCGGCTTCGCGGTGGCCAGCTTGGGGCTGGGCTTCGGAGTAAGCACTGATGAGGTCTGTTTGGTCCATGTGGCAGCAACAGGTGCCGGGATGTCAAGCCCCTTTTGAGATGAAGGACAGCTGCTTGGGATGGCCACGGATAGATCTGTCGAGCTACACAACGCTTCGGCCTGCAGAGCCTGTTCTGGTGACAGTACACTGTCGATGGCCACAGCCGAGTCGTCCCAGAGTGGCAGGTTGGCGTGCAGGGCTACCTTGTCGCACTTAGCGCGCACGACCATGTCCCAACAATCTTTGAAGTCCACATGCTTGGGCTCCGAGTCGAGGTTGATGAAGGCAGTGAAACCATCCCGGCGTCCACGTGCTGTAAGGCACATCTCTTTGACGATCCTGCGGGTGCCAGGCACCTTGAGGCTCGTACCCACCACAATTACAGCATCAGGGCGAGCCTTGAGGTCCGCTTCAGTCACGGCACCGATGGCGTCTGCATCAGGGTTGTGCTCGTTATATAGGACGAATCGTGGGCGCATGCGGCCAATGCCATGGCTGCGCTTGCCTGCAAAACTCGTCCGAAGATGATCGATGTCCACGCATGTCGCGCATAGTGGTGCTTCGGGCCCATCAAAGAGCTCAGCCTCAAGGTCCTGCAGCTCCGCGCATTTCGAGCAGACCATTTTCTTTAAGCCACCATGAAGCTGCACTGAGACGGGCCACGGACCCTTGGGGTTGAGCGGTACATTGGTAGCCAACGGTTCCATGGATGTGTCGATACAGTCGATATTCTGAGTGTACAGCCGCAATAGACGACCCTGGTGTGCCAGAGACGCCAGTAGGTGGTGAAATCGTGTTGGCTTCGCCGCATCTGACATGTGCGCCATCTCACGCACCATTGTGTGGAAATCGGAGGTGGAGTCATTGCTCTTGTAGACTGAAGCATCGAAGAGGTGCTTCCCGGACGCTTTCATCTTTTGTGGCTGACATCCTGCGGGAGCGAATAGGCCGGTGGATGAGCGGAAGTCAGGAATTCCTGCCGCCACGGAAATGCCAGCGCCGGCAATCACCACAATCTTCTTCTTCTTCTTGAGGGCATTCGTCAGGCGCTCAAGCTGCGCGTCGTCTTCGTCTGTCCATTCCGTGTCGTCCTTCATCAGATCGAGGTATTCGGTGGTGCGCTCCTTGGAAGACATGCCGACCTTGCGCTTCTTGGGCGCCGGTTGACCATCTTCAGACTCGGGCGGTGAAGAGCGCTGCAATCTGCTCTTCTTTGGGCCACTTTTGGCCTTGGGCGCGGTCGGCAAAACTGTGCGCTTGACAGGCGTGTGCGAACCCGACGCGGTAGTTGTTGACATTGGGGAAGGGTATCGATGCGATAAGTCGTTCAATGCCACTGGCTCTGGGCTGCTTTCTATCGAAGGTGTTCTGGATATGTTGGATAGCGGTGATGAGGATGCCGACGGCGTGGGTAGGGGATTCGCTGTGTATGACTGAGAGGGGAGCGGCGGCGGCGAGGAAAGAGGACTAGAGCCTCGATCCATGGCAGGTGATGGTGACCGGGTGTCCTGCTCCATGCTTTCGGTTCTTTCTCGCGCTCAAAATGCTGGGTGGATGGTTGTAACCATGGATTGATTGATTGACATGCGCTGGATCGTTCCTGCGTCGAACCCGAAACCAAGTGACGTCGGGCAGCGCAAGCCAAGTTGAGAAGGAGAGATTGCGAGGAGGAGGAAAACAAGCGGGAGGGCAAAGGGGAAAAGCGCGCTGGTGGTCGATTATGCCATGTCGGTCTCGCTGAGGTTAATAATACTATAGTTGCAAAAGGCAAAGCGTGGGTGATGTAGCAAAGTATGTTTGGAGCTGGTGCAACTGTCGAGATTGCCGATACCGACAAGTCGGTTTTGGGCGTCGACCAGAACGGGCAGAAGAGGGGGGCGCCCTAGCCCCCTACAGACAGCTGCGATTAGCCCACTGCAAGGCGCGACAGTTACCCGCAGTCCCCGGAGCACTATACTTATACGGTAAATAAACATTCACTACGAGTACAGCGACCGAGCAGCGCCATCCTGAACAGCGACCGTCTGGATGCTCGCACAAAGCCTATTGCTTGCTAATTCACTTGCATTCCTGATCCATTGTCTTATCGTAGTAGAAATCAACTTAACATTATGAACGCGCGTGAATAAGGCGTTTGTAGTTAAACAAATCGAGTCAATATAATTACCAAGCGCTCGGCTATAGTACTAGTAGACAAATAAGTGAAAGTAGCCATTGGCGAGGCTGGGTTCTGGCTTTGTTAGCGCATCACCGGAGAAAGCAACCTCATATCAGGGTGAGCCTCACTTGAGACCAGCTGGCTCCATGTTGCATGCCATGATTCCATCTTCGATTTCTCTTGTATTCATTCCCATGACCTCCGAGATACCCTACGGTTACCCGGGAAATCCAGCATCGCTCCACTATTTACCTAAGTAGGTCAAGCTCAAATCAATGATTCCGTCTCGCGAGAAAGGCGCGTAATGCCACAGACGCGGATGCACGTTTGAAGATGGCTTTGGCCGATATTATGATACACGTCCCGATAATTATAAGTTTACATAGTAGTATCTACAAGCTACCTAACCTCTTTGCGCGCGGGCTTCTCCTCGCCAGACAGAATGTCCTTGACCAGATCTGTTCCTGGTCCATTCCCCACCTCTGGTCTGTCATTCTTCTTCCTCCCTAGCCCGGCCATGTTCATGAGTTCAATGGCGCACATGCCAATGATCAGGCCTGCCCAATGGCCGATGGTGTCCGACTTGCTTTCCTTTGCGAACGAATTAAACAATTCCAGGGTGAACAAACTCACGCCGAGTGCCCACCACACAATGCCGTGCACGCCATCTTGCGGCATACCCCATATGCGGAATCTATCGTTGCGATGATCCCAGAAGTAGGCGGCACCGATGCCAACAGTTGAAGCGGAAGCGCCCAGCGATGTGACACCGAGCATGCCCTTGTACGAGTACCCTATCAAGGCACCGAGGAAGCCACCTCCACCGGCGGCCATCAGTAGAGTGATGAAGCCCATGCGGCCCAGGTCCTCGTGCAGGTGCACACCTATGAACGAAAAGACGGTCATGTTAATGAGGAAATGGCTGACCATTTGGTGTGAGAAGTTGGCAGTGAAGATGGTGATTGGCCGTGGCTTCCCAACTACCAGGATCATATAGCGATTCATCACCTTCCACATGTGCGGAATCCGCCACAAGAGCATGACCAGCGAATTGATGCCAACGATGGCAGCAATCGTCGCAACGGCCGGCGAGATTTCGGGGAAGAGTCGATATTTCTCCTCTGGCTCGGTGTACACCATGGTCAACGACGCCAGGAACCCAATGGTGAGAACGTAGAAGAAGATGGAGGGCATAGTGCGCTGCCATACTGACATATCGGGCGCTTCTGTCTCGGTGCCCATTGCCTCGCGGTGGTATTTGGCAATTGTTGGGTTTGTGATGGCGCGCTGGCCCTCCTCCACCTCCACAAGAGACCGCGCTCGCGGGTCGTCATCGTCTGGTAACCGTCGGCCTTCGGCTATGGCACGTCGCTTCTCCTCTTCAATCCTCTCGAGCCTCACTTTCTCCTTGGCCTGGTTACGAGCCCGGATCTGGTCGAAGACGCTGAGTCCGTATATAGGGTCCGGCTTGACTTCTGTGATAGGGACGTGTTGTTGGACCTCTTTGGTGTCCCCTGCATTCGCCTGCGTACTGGATGTTGGGTCCGGCTTGACTTCTGGGTCGAGGGCGTCCGCCCCAGTCTTGAGCGTCGGGTCCTCGGCTGGGTTTCCTTCGAGTTGACTTAGCTCATCCTCGGCGCGCAGACCAGCATTCAAGACCTCGTCGACCTTGATGTGTCTCCGCAAATACTCCAACCCTCTCTGGATCTGTTGCTTCGAGAATCGCGCTGTGTGAATGGAGAAGGCCGGGTCTTCCAGAGTACCTGCCACTCGTCGCCCGTGTAGTATCCGCAGCAACTGGTTTCCGTCCTCTTCCGACAGACCTTCACCGAAGATACTGTCAATCTCCTTTTGCGACAAGGGCTTCCGGCTGAAGAAAAGACCGAGCTTGTCCTTGTACTCCGCCGGCAGATCTTGATATGCTGTGATCACACCTCGTTTGAAGAATGTTCGGCATTGCCCTCGACTGGCGGCCAATATCCTACATGGGCTTGCGGCGGTCGGGCGTGTCGATCGTGAGCGCTGCGAAGTTGTACATGGGACGGCAAGGATTGACAGTTGTCGTGGAGCGAGGGGACATGATCGAGAGGAAGCGCTCGGAAGGCTGCGGGAAGCTAAGCGTAATAGCGTCCGTGATGCACTCGGGCATATTGAGGCATTCATTTTGGGCTTCGTTTGCGCCAGAATGGCGCCCTGCGAGATGTTGCGCTCACGACGACATGAAAATGTGAAGGTAATAATAGCCTGGTGATGTCGGATCAAAGAAATTAGGAGCGTTTCCTAAATAGGTAAGGTGACGTTGTCCCACTTTTACAGCCGAGCTTGGCTTGAACTTTGAAGTCTTAAACAGGCAAAGGGCAATTCCACTTCGATGAAGTTTGCGCGAAGACGAGCATTTTCAATTGGACCTGTTTTCCAGGCCAGGGTAGGCTTCTTGCCTGTATTAATCGCAAAGTCTGGAGGGTTTGCGTTTAACTGCGTTGTGCGTGAGCTCGTGGAAAACAGCACCCATAGATCTAGACGCGAAACGGCTGTCCCTGTGCTAGACACCTTTGAAGTGCCATTGTCGTGTCCAGCAGGCGAGATAAGCCCAAACAAGTATTTGACAAATTGGTTGTAGCCAATGTCAGCAGGTGACTTTTTACCTGGCTGCGAGTATGCGAGCTTGGACTTGTGGAATAGGATTGGGCCTGGTCCTTACTACGTATAAGGCAGGCACCAACAGCATGACGCCACAGCTTATGCACATCCACCCCACCATCGGCGGCCCCTCCAACGTTGAAACTTGAAGCTTCAAGCTCTTGACCACGGCCTCCGTTGAACTTCGATCTATTACATCGCAACCGACACCGTTGACGAAATCTTTACCAACACTTGTGCATCCTTGTATAGCAGCGGACGAAATGTCTGCCGACACCACACCTATATCGTCGGCGCGCTTCGCTGCTGCCCTGACAGATCTATCCATCGAAATGCTCCATCTCAAAACTCTCGAAATCCGCAATTCGATCGCTCACCTTCAATACTCGAACGACCAGCTCCGTCCCTTTGCCGATGGCACGCAAACAGCTGTCTCGACATCAGAGGCCTCAGGGCCATCAGGAGCGGCCTCGAACAATGAACCAGACCAGGACTGCATAGACGCGATCAAAGAAAATGACACGGTGATCGACCGTATGGCTGAGCGAATAGCTATCATCCGCGCAGAGGTCGAAGGCAGGGGCCTCAGCTGGGATGAATTTAAAAGTGCCGAGGAGGTTCTGGCCGCCAAGGCCGAGCAAGAGTCCAAGAACACAGCAACACCGACGGTCAACGGTCATGCAGAGCATGCTCAGGAACAAGGCAACTCGCCATGGACAGATGGGACGTTCCAGACGGGCACAATCCGGAACGGGGAGATCACAATGGACCAGCGACCAGGGCAGCCCGCTGGTGGGAGTATGAGTGATGAACAGCTGAGGCAGGCCCTCGAGGAACGAATGAGAAATTTGGAAACCGATGAGGGCGAAGGCGGGATGCATCTTTGATCAAGGCACGATCACGGCGTTCTGGAGTTAGAAAGGGATGGTAAGGCTGATACCAGTAGCATCAATATGGCCGAGTCCACAGGCCTGCAATATCGTCAAAATGAACATTAACCTACTACTACATTGCGTCTCTTTCGGTTCGGCAGGGAATGTTACGAAAGATCCGTTCGATTGACAGTCTTTCACAGTCTTTGGCGACCAGAACAGCTTCCAAGCTAATTGCTTACGTAGCACACCAGCCACACTTGTCGTGACCATGTTGAGGCTCGATGACGACGCCACCCACGCTAGCACATTCGCCGTGCTCACGCCACACCTGCCCTGGAAGGCCGCCGCCTGGGCCGTGAACTTGCGCATGCGCTGCGCGTCTTCCTGTCCTGTCTGGTGTCTCCGTAGCTGAAGCTGCTGAGCCCCTAACACCCATCCAAACTCGACAAACCAAGCTGACGGTCGCCAAACTTGAGGCAATTCCTCCGTCGATACGCCGGATATACGAGACCCAGACGATTTTCGCACCTCGAGAATTTCCATGATCCATACGTTTTCCGCCCTCGCAAGACGATGAGGTCGGGCGGCCAGTCCACGTCATGGCGCCTCCTACTGCTGGCCATGGCGGTGATGCTGTGGTCAGCAGTGGTCGCGGCCAAGGGCAAACCTGATATCACAGTTACAAAACTCGAGGTGAATCATATGCCGGAGAACCTCAATTACTTTGAGGACAGCGACGTGATCCTCTTTCAAGACATCTCAGAAGGCAACATATACCGATCTGACAACGCCGGCAAGAAATGGGAAAGAGTCGGCGATATCCCCGATGGCCATGTCGCCATCCTGATCATGCACAAGTACGACAAGGAGACGGCTTTTGCCATCTCCGGAAGCACGGAGCACTACAAGACCAATAACAGGGGCAAGACGTGGGAGAAGTTCAACAGCATCAGCGCACCTAGTGATTGGCAGCCTGAACTCCTCGTCTTCCATGCCGATGACCCCAAGAGTATCATCTTCAACGGGGAAGACCGCGATGGGATCTTCAGCACCGAGCAATCGACCTACACGACTGACGGCTTCGAGACTGTCGATATCCTCCGAGCGTACACAAGCGGCTGTTGGTGGGCCAAGTCCTCTCCGGAGTTTTCCACGGGCGATGCAGACAAGGACAAGCTACGGACAATGTGCATCGTATCCGATCCCTTCTCTTTCTTTCAGGAAGAGCAGCGCCTGCACATTTCCGACTCCTTCTTTGCAGTGGTGGACGATCGCATCGACGAGTTCGAGCCGGCCATGGACACAAACAAGCTGGTGGACGGCGTGGTCAACCTGGCGGTGGTCAAGGGATACATCCTTGTTGCTACGTCTTCCTGGAACAGCGACGAAATGGCGCTCTACGTGTCCGACGACACCATCAGGTGGCATCGCGCCATGTTCCCTGTGGACGACGATCACGACCACTCGCATCGGATCAGCCAGAATGCGTACACGGTCCTCGAGAGCACCAACTACAGCATTCAGGTGGATGTCATGACCTCGCACCCTTCGCAGCCCATGGGTGTGCTTTTCACAAGCAACTCCAACGGCACTTACTTCACCGAGAACGTCCCATACACGAACCGCAATGACTGGGGTCATGTCGACTTTGAAAAGATGACTGGGATTCAGGGCGTGTACTTGGTCAATGTGGTTAACAACGGAAAGGCGGTCGACGAGAAAGGCGACAAGAAGAATGTGGTCTCGAGGATTACATTCGATGATGGCCGGACCTTTGAACCCTTGAAAGCCGGAGACGAGGACGTCCACCTTCACTCAGAGACTCACCTGAACAATATCGGCAAGGTCTTTTCCAGCTTGGCGCCCGGACTGGTGATGGGCAATGGCAACACGGGCAAGGACCTTAACCCGGACTTTCGCAAGGCCAATCTGTTTGTGTCTGATGATGCCGGTCTGTCCTGGAAGAAGGCCTTGGACGGTCCGCACAAGTACGAGTTCGGCGACTCAGGGTCGATCTTGCTCGCCGTCAAGGATTCCGAGAAGGAGGATGTCAAGGAAATCTCTTACTCCATCGATCATGGCGACAGCTGGGAATCAGTCGACTTTCCCAAAGATACGCAAATCAGACCCTACATTCTGACAACCACACAAGACTCAACGAGTCTGAAGTTCTTGCTGCTCGGCATACGGGACGACGTGCCACATATCTTGGCCATCGATTTTGGTGGCATGGATCTGCGGACCTGCAAAGACGATGACTTGGAAGAGTGGCATGCGCGAGTTGACGATGATGGCAAGCCCACTTGCGTCATGGGCCACAAGCAGACATACAAGCGCCGCAAGAAGTCCGCGGAATGTTTCATCAAGAATGATTTCAAGGACCCAGTGCCCGAGACTGAAGACTGCGAATGCACCGACAAGGACTTTGAGTGCGATTACAACTTTCAGCGGGACCCCGAGGACGACAGCAAGTGCAAGAAAGTTGGTCCAATCCCGCGGCCAGAAGACTCGTGCAAGAACGGACATGACGACACGTTCATGGGCACTTCTGGCTGGAGGCTCATTCCGGGCAACACGTGTAAGCGTGGCGATGGCAAGCAGAAGGATGCTGAAGAAGAGCGCAAATGCTCTGATGCTGTGGCCGCGCCGAGCAAGCCTGCCAGCGGAGAGATCTCGTCGACACAGCATGTGTTCGACAAGGTCGAGCTTGACGACTTCCAGAAGATCTACCTAGAGAGGGGCGAGTCGAGCTCAGGAACTGATGAGACAATCATCATACGCCCTGCTGAGGATGAGGGTATGGGTCGGATCCGTATTGGCAAAGAAATCTTCTTATCAAGCGACCATGGGAAGAAGTGGAAGCGCATCCTCGAAGACAAGGACGTTCGTGGCATTTATCCTCACGAGCACTTCAAGGATGTTGTCTTCTTCACTACCAAGAGCGACGAAGTACTCTATACCATTGATCGCGGTCAGAGCTTCCACAGCTTCACGGCACCAACTGAGCCAGGCGACTCGCTGCCCCTGAGCTTCCACCCCGAGAAGAAGGATTGGTTGATCTGGGTCGGCAAGAAGTGCGAAGGCAAGAATGGGGCATGCTCCTTGGAGGCTTCCTTGTCCCTCGACCGTGGCGACAACTGGCGGACCATTCTGCGTTACGTCCAGAAATGCGAGTTTACGGGGTATAAGGCGTACAGGCTGCGCGACAATGAGCAGATTGTGTGCCTCGCGCACAGCGAGGAGAACAATGATGCGCCGCTGACCATTGTGATGAGCAACAACCTCTTCAAAGACAGCAAGACTGTTTTCGAGGGAGAAGTCACCAACTTTGCGACAATGAGCGAGTTCATCGTGCTGGCGGGCGAGAATTCGGAAACGAAAGCTCTCCAAGCGTACGCGAGCTTGGATGGCGAACAATTTGAGGCGGCGCACTTCCCTTACAACTTCAACGGTGGCCAGGCCAACGAGTACACTGTGCTCGACAGCTCAACGCACGCGGTCAACCTGTTCGTGCTCACCGAGGGTGGCGCTGATCGTCAGTATGGCTCTATTGTGAAGAGCAACTCGAATGGCACGTCTTACGTGCTGAGCGCGCCCAAGGTCAACTGCGACGAAGCCATGTACGTTGACTTTGAGAAGGTAGCCGGACTTGAGGGCGTGGTCCTCATCAACACCGTCATCAACGCCGACAAGAAGGGTGCCAAGACCAAGGAGCTCCAGACCAAGATCTCTCACAATGACGGAAACGAATGGGGCTACCTCGCGCCACCAGACCTTGACGTTGATGGAAAGGTATACAAGTGCCTGTCCGACAGAGGTGACAAGAATTGCGCCTTGCACCTTCACCACTACACCGAACGAGATGATAAGCGCAAGACTTTTGCTGCGAGCACCGCCCTTGGTCTGATCTTTGGCGTGGGTAACGTCGGCAACAAGCTCGGCGATATCAAGGATGCGGACACGTTCATGTCGACCGACGGTGGCATCACCTGGAAGAATGTGAAAAAGGGCCACTGGACGTGGCAGTACGGTGATCAGGGTTCCATCATTGTCCTGGTGCAGCGAGCCACCAGCAAGAACGACTACAAGACAGACTCTGTCTCGTACTCGACAGATGAGGGAAGGACATGGCAAGACTACAAGTTTGCAGATAGCAAGGTGACGGTCCTAGACATTACCACGCTCAGGACCGGCACGTCGCGCAACTTCCTCCTCTGGTGCAAGTCCGGCAAGGGCAAGACTTTCTCGGTCAACTTGGACTTTACAGGTCTGACTGATCGAGCTTGCGAGGCTACGGACGGGAACGACTCGGACTACTATACATGGTCTCCCAAGCACCCCCTCCAGGACAACGACTGTCTCTTTGGGCATGTGGCCAAGTATCTCCGCAAGAAGCCCGACAGCAAGTGTTACAACGACCAGAATCTCAAGCGCCTCCTTGATTACGAGAATTGCGCATGCAGTCGTCAGGACTTTGAATGGTAAGCACACACACTACCCCCCTTTTTTCCGGCATGGCAGGCATTGGCTAACCTTGTTCCAGCGCATACAACTACGAGCTGGACAACCATAACCAGTGTTCGCTCGTGGAAGGGTTGGAGCCCATGTCCCAAGAGGAATGGTGCAAGCAGAACCCCAACGCGACCGAGTGGTACGAACCGACAGGCTACCGCAAGGTCCCCCTCTCGACGTGCCAAGGCGGTGCCGAGCTCGACAAGATATCGATCGCGCATCCGTGCAAGGGCCACGAGGAAGAATTCGAGCGCAAGCACCGTACGTCCGCCCTGGGCATCTTCCTCGCCGTCGTGATCCCCTTCTTGCTGGCCGGCGGGATCGGATGGTGGGTGTGGAAGAACTGGAACGGCAAGTTTGGCCAGATCCGACTCGGGGATGGGTCGTCCACCACCTTTGACAGCGACCAGCCCTGGATCAAGTACCCCGTGGTGGCCATCTCGGCGGTGGCGGCCGTGGCGGCTTCCACGCCGCTGCTGATCGCCAGCCTGTTCCGCACGGCACGGGGCACCTACGAGCGCGTGGGCGGTCGGGGCAGCGGTGGGGGCTGGTTCTCGGGTGGCCCGAGACGCTTCACCACGCGAGATAGCTTTGCGCGGGGGAGAGGTGATTATACCATGGTGGATGATGACGAGGGCGAGCTACTAGGCGACGACAGCGATGAGGAGGTTTGAGGATATGGGGCCCATACCGACCGGCCTTTCGACTACGCATGTACACTTGGATATGATTATGTACCTATAACACGTGGGCGAAGAGCGAAGGTCGAGTTGTATATTTGAGGACAGGACTCACGACGACCGGCGTTTTTTCTTTTACGAGAGTCATTGATGGGTTGGGTAGCTGAACAGAGACATTGATACATATCTGTGTGGGCAAAAGAAGAAAGGCATGTCGTACCCGGCGGGTGCTGTTTTCCGGAGCAATGAACGGTGATCAGTCGGGTTATATCTTGGGGGCAGGGATCGTGATCATCACCGTCACAGGGGCCAAGACGGCGGAGACGTCGATCATATAGGAGAGGTCATTATGTGTGGATCGACGACAAGCATTTTGAATTCAGCGGGGGTTTAATCATAGATGGATATGTACCCCTACACATTACGTATCCAACGAGTCCTAATTTCGCACACGCCATGTGAGCTACATGGTTCCCAATGAAACGCCCAACAAATGCATTGCGTTGCAAGAGACTGCCTTGCCCGGATGGTACATGAATGAACGAATGAACGGTGGTTCCACCTCCAACTCCTTGCAATGGGCTGGATGAACGAACGAATAAAACGAGTGTAAGCAGCGCAGATTATGTGTGCATGTGTGTGCGAGGCGCCAAGTGATGCTCACGTCCCGTCGAACAATGATCAAATCAAGGGTATATGAAAGAAACACGAGAGCAGAGCCGTGACATGAAAGCAAGAAGACGAAAGGGCAGGATCCCGAGAGTACATTTGTTGCGTGCGCTGACACCCTCGGGACCATTACGAACGACGGACACGTTTCCAAAATCGCCGCAAGCCACCGTTTTCAGGAGCCGAGTCTGTGTTGCCCTCCCGATCCAAGGTTGCGAAATGTTGCTCCATGTCCTTGGTGCGACTGTCCTGCCTAGGGAGGGTTGGTGGCACACACGAGTCGGTACGGACGTGACTCTTGCGTGCTGGTGCCGGTTTCTGCTGCCAGCCGTATATCTGCTCATCGTGTGCGCGGAGATCGGGCCGTGTCAGCGTCATGCGCATGGTCATCTCGCGCGGGTTGTCGACTGTCTTGGTGACGCCGAATAATGTCGGTACGATGGGCTCGGTGTGCATGCGCAGTGGGTGCGCCGGTACCGGCTTGTCCATGATGGGGGGCGTCTTGGGCGAGTCCGGGTCGCTCACGGTACTGTCGTTGCTGTGTGTTGATGATTGGTCGTCGTCGAGAAAGGTCCGCAACTTGTAGGCACCAAAACCATTGTCCTTGGACTGCTTCCTCTCGCTGCCATTGCTCTCGTTCAGCGAGGGAAAGCCGTAGGTCAATGCCTCATCGAACTTTTGCGGCGACGCCACGTAGTGACGCAGTGTCATGCGGGTGTTGGGGTCCTGGTAGTGTGCTGCATCAGGGTCGATCATGGCTGGCGGCTCGGGCGCAGGTTGCTTGTTCAGAGACATGAGCGAGAGGGCCCTGGATGCCTTGCGGACATGGCCAGCGCCAGTGCCTGGCCCGAAGCTGTTGACGGATTTGAGAGATGGAGCTGCGTTGTCCTTTGTGCCGGGCCTGCTTCCCGAGAGGGGGGATCGCGACAAGGTGGCCTTGTTCATGGATACCCTATGGCGGAAAGACGGTCGTCGTGAGAAGACGGGCTCCTCTTCCTTCGGTGCAGGGCTTGGCTGCTCCTGGATGTCGTGGTGATAGGAGCTCAAGCCCAGGCGCAGGTCGAGGGCTCCATCATCTTCTAACCAGCGAAAACTGTCATAGAAGGCCTGGGATCCTCCCTTGGCGTGACCATGGTCGCCAGAGGCCATGTTGCCTTCTCGCTCGCGTAGCTGGAGGGACTGGAACTTGAGGAAGGCTTCGTCAACCCGGTCAGGGGCGACGCTGCGAGGGCGACGGGTTCGGCGTTTCGTCTCGTCTCGACTCGTTCGACGTCGTCCAGGCTGCTGGGCGTGGAGAGAGTAGACCTGCGTGCCCTTGACGCCGACCTGGCTAGAGCGCCTCGGATTCGAGCTCCGTGCCTCCACTACAATGCTGTTTCTCCGCGAGCTCTGGCGTGGTTTCGAGTGCCTGGGCTGAGGTGGAGGCTCGGTGGTTCTGCGGACAGGCGGTCGAGGGTTGAAGGTGTCAAAGGAAGGGGTGATGCCGAATTGCTGGACGAGACGCCGCCTCTCGATCTCGGAGTAGTACTGAAGTGGTAGGGTCAATGGCGGAGAGCAGGATTGGAACGATGATGATTGCAAGAAGACAAACGGGCAGGCAGGCAGGAAGATGGCGAGAAGAAGGCCTCTCTCGTGCTTGATGCAGGAACGCAGCAGCTTCAAGGGGAACAGACAGGGGTTCGCAGTAGCTCCAGTCCCCAGGCAGGGCCAGTGGACCGACTGGAGCAGTGAGACTGAGCACCCACTCGCACCGCAGCGCACACGACGCCAGGTGGGCCGAGCTGGGCAGGGATGGGTGATCTAGCCTCTAGGGCCTAGTCTGGATATATTATGGAACCATTGGGATGGGAATAACGCGACAGCCAGGGGACCAGCAACTTTAACTGGTGCCCTGGGGTTGGGAAGATGGTTCATGCCGCTGGAAGGGGATGGAGGGATTGCTCGGCTCCAGTCGTTCGACTGACGGTGAGTGAGCATGCAAGACGTGTGTGAGAATAATGAAGAGGGACGGACGTGTGTGCAAAGAGAGCAACTGCCAAGGCCGGGCTCGAGCTGTGCAGTCACTTCACACTGCAGTGCGGTCCGGTCATGTCTCCACCACGGCGCGAAGAGCAACCCGCAAGTCGGCGACTCACCGCTGCGGTTGGTCGACCATGTGGTGACGAGCACTGGGGAAAGCTCGAGCAGCACCCAATGTCATCCGTGGCTGCCAGCCATCCATGCGGACCATGCCGTGATCAAGTTGACCTGCTTGCTGCATCGTCCATGGTGTTGGTCCTGGATCGTGTGGCAGCAGTATGGAGGCCTGCCTCCCTTGCGATAATCATGGCCGAAGCAACTGGAATTGTTTGGTCACAGACGGCACTCACTTGAGGCCGATCCACGGTGACGGGAGTCGCGGGACGATGAGACATGTCTCGTACCGATGCAGCCCCAGCCAGACCTGTCAATGTGACAGGAATGACGGAGCAAGACATGGCATACGTACGTAGTACGATGAGGGTCAAGGTCTGAAGGAGACACATGTCTCGAGGGCCATTCGTGATGCAAGGGAGACGGGCTGAGTGAGAGACGGACAGACTGATCGACTGACGATCAAATCAAGGAAGCTTGTGAACATGAATGAATCTTACCTGGAAATTCAAATCAGACTCCTGAGCGTTTGTTGCCAAGGGTGGTGCACCATCATCATCGGCCCACTTGAAACTTTTGTTGCCCGTCACAATGGCGCTCCTCGTCCGGTTCCAATGCTTGTTGATGTTGCCAAACGAGGGTCGGCGTCTGGCAAACGCACTCGACTTGCGATTACTCAGGCTGGGACGCTCACCAGTCCTGCCGGAGGACGGCTCTGCCATGTCGTTGCTCTCGAGTAGCGACGTGCTCGCACTGACTTGGCTGCCGGAGCGTGTCGTGCGAGCGTGAGGCGTCGTTGATGCCGCCATCATGAGGTGCCTGCGGTTGCGCTGCTCTGCAGTAGTGCGGCGAACGAGGGGAGAAAGCAGCGCGGAATGGAACGGGAAGCCTGGCCAGCAGTGTCTTCCCTGAGGAGCGTCGATGTCGTTGAAATGGGCTCAGACGTCCGGAGAGCAGCACTGTTCAGAATTGCAAAGGGACGACACGGTATTAACAGATGTCAACAGGATTGTTCGTTCGCCTCTGCCCTGCCCTGCCTGGCAGGCTCGCGTGGCTGCCATGCCTTCCATGCCCCGTGTCGTCACTTGCGCGACCGTCGTCCGCATCCACGACGTTGGTGACTGGAGCTGGCTGTCACGGTGCATTCGGTTCCAAAGAGGCAGAAGGCAAAAAAAGCATCGATGGACGCTAATCTAGCGCTCAGCCAGGCCCGTGGCTAGTGCCTGAACCCTGGAGCAGTTATAGCGCCCCCCTGTCACTCACCGTTGGCGCCGTCCATCCTTAGTGCCGATCAGTGGCGGAGCTTCGCTGTTCCGAACAACGGACTTATATCGAGACTTGTATCCGTACAGCATCAATTAATTAATATGTCGCAAGTAACGCGTCTGATAATTATCTACAAGGGCTATTCTAACCTCTGATAGATCAATCGCGATAATAAGTGACTGGACTCGTCAATAGTGTAATATCAAGCTCAAGTCTTTCTCAAGGACGCATCAGCCACAGCGCGCTCCAGGCTCCAGGTACAGTCCCCGCCCATGACGACATTGTCAGCAGCCGCAGCCAAACCTCCCAATAACCAGGCTCAATACAATACATTCTCTGAGTTCAGAGGCTCAAGGCATTTGACTGAAGACGCTCTGAATGTCGATCGCTGCCTCTTGACGCACAACCAGAGGCGCCGTCAGCACTTGCGGGCTCCCGCACGCCGGGACGCCCTCCATCCATCGCCCGTATCATCCTAGGCTACTCCGTGCCCAGATGGAAGACCACCCCAGCCAGCAGCATCCTGAGGGTCAGCATCTACACAACCCGCGGCGTATTCGTACTTGTCAAATCACAAGTGAAACTGTCGAAGCAGTAGGGGCTGATTGAAAGATACGTGAGAGAATGTCAAAATACTAGTACTTGTAGTAACATATCTACTTTTGGTGGGCGGGCACATGAACTAACATGAAGGCCGTTACTATCTCGTACCTACTACTTCTCCGTGGTCAGCTAGCTGAGCGTTTCATACCAGGTATGATTAACTCTTTACAGCAAACAGCTGCTTCCCCGGTTACTGTAGTCAAGCTACGAGAAGATCGTTCCTATTCCGTCCAGTCTAGGATCTGCACTGCTCGCGTGACGTCTGAGGATTCGGCCGAGCGAGGCCACAGCATCAGACGTTTCCAGTCCTTTGGGCTGGCCAGGTCAAGGGCCACCACGAGGATCGGAGCAATCATCTAACTTACACACAAGATGAAACAGACCGAGGACCTTGCCTTTCCAGGCTAGGATTGCCTGCATCCATCCTGCCGCACGCGACTCTACAACTTGGGCACTGGGACGTGGAGTAATGCAGCAGGGCGCTCATCCTTCTGCTGGAAATAGCTTCATGTGGGGAATACACATCATTGAGTATTGCACAGGCGGCATACTGTCTTGTATGTATATACCACCCATCCTCACAGATAAGACGCCTCGACAAGATATCCGATGGAGAATTGAATGTGGCGCTCAACCGCATCCCACATGATGGTATCCAGAGTCTGCACGCACGATTAGTACAGCATGCCAACCTAAGGAAACAAGTACATACATCGTTGACGGTGTGGATATAAGGGCTGGTCTGGTCGGTAAGATCCTCAAACAGGAAGGCAGCAGCTGTTTTGCTGATTAGCAGTCGTCAATCTCCCCGGGGCAAGCAACATACGGAAACCATTGGCATCGGCGGACGCGTGGTCCGAGCATCCGTAGCCACAAGAATCCTCGCTGGGCGCCTGGCCGGTATACTCAGTCACCAGCAGCTTGACGTAGGCGTTCAGGTCGCTGTCGGTGTAGTCGGTGATAATGGCGGGCGTGCCGCTCGGCGAGTAGCCGGCCATGTCCTGGTTCACGTACGACAGCACAGCCTTGCCCGCGGCGCGGTAGTTGGCAAAGACGTCGGCCGAGCCCACGAGGCCAATCTCTTCGCCGGCGTACCAGTGGAACTCGAGCGTGTTCTCGGGCTTGAAGCCGCCCTGGGCCAGAACGCGAAGAGACTCGAGGACAACGACGGTGCCGGAGGCGTTGTCGTCCGCCCCGGGAGCGGCAGCAGAGGGCCGGCCAGTTGTCGAATCAAAGTGAGCCCCGATAATGACTAGGCAAGTTCGTCAGTACGCACGTCAAGTGAGGACGGCCGGTACACAAACCCAAATTCTCGTTGTTGCCTGGGATGCGAGCAATGATGGAGGGTTGGTCGAAATCCGAGTGGGGGAACTGCTCGACGGTGATGGCAGCGTTGGCCGAGGCAAAACTCTGGACCTTCTCAAAGAGCCAGTTGGCAGCCTCCGTGCCAGTCTCGGACTCGCAATGACGATTGTGGTACCTGTGATAGCCATCATGGTTAGCCTGATAGCCAGAGCCAAGATCCTGCGTTGCAAGTCACTCACGAGGACAGGTGCTCCAGCCCCAACTGAGGCCCCTTCGTGCCGGCACTGCTAATGAAGGACTGGGCCTCCTCAACATGGCTCAACGTATCCGGGTACTCGACCACCTTCTGCGCCGCTGCACGGTACTTGGCCGACAGTCTCTCCAGCACAAAGTCGTCCTCAATGTTGGTGATGTCGATGTAGTGCGTGCATCCCCCCTTGGACTTGACCATGGTGTACTTGTCCTCCTTGAAGATCCATTGTCCAGGATCCTCCTCCGAGGTCTTGATCAGACGCATGCCTTGAGCGGGTGCAGCAGGCTTCTCAAATGCAGAAGAAAGCTGGGCACCAGCTGCGAGGGCAGCGATGACGACTTTGAAGACCATGTTGCTGATTGGATGGGAAATGAAGCCTCGGGGGGTGGAGTTTGGTGCAATGTCGATGAAGCCAAGTCAGCTGGAGGATGCTATAAAAGAGCTTGACTAGCGGACGCCGCGGGCTATTAAGTACATGGTGTCCTGACAAGCAAGCTGTCTGTGCCATCAGCCGCTCTCTCGCAGCGGCCTATGAAGAGGTAGTATCAGTATGCTTGTGACGTGGGACCATGCCGATCACCAGGACGGGAGCTGCCCGATTGAGTCCCATGATCCAAGGTGCCTTCATTGCTGTCATCGTCGAATCATCTCCATCGTGCCTTGCGATAGGCGGCATGAAGACAAGCACGGCCGATGGAACACAAGGTCGCATCCGGAGACGATGCGTGTACAGTGACCTTGAATAGGGTGTGAATCAGGGCCGTCCGACGTAATTGAACTCCCCGCACCAAAAGAAGCTTCCCCATCAAGCAGAGCCCCCGGCTCTTGATCGCCATGCGTTGGGCTGAAGACGGCAGTCGAAGTCGTTGCTGGGCTGCCGTGGCAGGGCGTAGCTGCGGCCGACCTTGAAAGGTGGACGCAGGTTGTTAAGCATAAATGAAGCATAAACGAGCCATCATTGATTCACTCATCAAAGATCTTGCCCGGATTCAGCATTCACATTGGGTCCAGGGTGTTCTTCATAGCTTTCATGAGACCGATGGTCTCTGGCCCGAGCTCTTTGAGTAGGCAGTGCTTTTGTCTGTTAGCTTGTGGCAAAATGATTCCGCGGGGGCGCAGTGCTTACCTTTTTACCCAGGCCGATGCCATGCTCGCCCTGTTGCCCACTGGTTAGTTGCGCGGTCCAACCTCAATAGACGTGGTCTTACCGAGACAGTCCCTTCCATTTCAATCGCCTTCTCCATCATGATCTCAACATATTCCTTTGTCGCCTGGACCTGTTCAGGGCTCCTTGGGTCGTACATGACCATTTGGTGAAAGTTGCCATCTCCAACGTGGCCCAGAACGCTTGTGAACAGGCCGAGCTTCTCGGCGCGCTCTTTGGAGGCTTCTACTGTGCGTTAGTAGAGTTGCAGCGCCAGGTTCGGGTCGCACGTACGGATCAGCTCAGCCATGCGAGATATTGGCACTGCCACGTCCGTAGACCAGATCTGCGTGCCCTCTGGCCGAATGGCGAGAGAAGCCCAGAGGGCCTGCTTCCTCGCGGCCCACAGCGAGTCCATCTCCTTTTGATCCGTCGCCGCTTCGAACGTGTTGCAACGGAGTGCCTTGGCTACGTGACGGGCGAGGCGAACGTTGTCTTCCACTGAGTCCTTGGTACCGGAGAATCTGCATGGGCTAGGGAGTGCGCACGTGCGACAAGACGAAGCTGACATGGACGACTTACTTCAAGAAGAGGGTGGTCTTCTCTCCCCACATGCGGCCCCCAGCGCCACCGTTCTTGTTGACGACGCCCATCTGAGCATCATCCATGAGCTCAAGTGCCGCCAATGGCACGCCTGAGCGTATCATCTTGGTAGCCGCGTCTGCTGCGGCTCTGATTGTTGGAAACGTCGCCGTGGCCACGCTAAAGCTGTCGGGTATGATAGCCAGCTTGAGCGTTGCTTCGGTTACAATCCCGAGTGTGCCCTCACTTCCCGTGAACAGCGAGTTCAGATTATAACCAGCGGACGTTTTTCGGGGGCGATGGCGAGTTTTAATGATAGAGCCGTCGGCCAAGACCACCGTCAAATTCACAACATAGTCCTTCATTGTGCCGTAGCGAAGGGCGTTGGTACCAGAGCAGTTGGTAGCCACCATACCCCCGATCAGCGCTGTTGGGCTAGGGTCCAGGGGCAGGAAGAGGCCGCTTTCCTTGATCTCTTCGTTGAGATTGGTCCAATTGACACCAGCCTGGACAACGACATCCATGTCGTCCTGGTGGAAGGCAATGATCTTTTGCATGCCAGACAAGTCAATACAGATCCCCGAATAGGGCGAACTGAAGTTGCCCTCGACGCTAGAACCAGCACCGTAGGGGATCATTGGCACTTTGTGGCGCGCGCACACCTTGACGACGGCAGAGACCTCCTCCGTGCTGTTCGGACGTACAATGGCGACTTATCGAACGTCAGAGTTCGAAGTAGACCACTCGGAATAGCCATGTTCCTCCAGATCATCCTGGTCTACGCTGACAGCATCGTCGCCCAGAATATCCCTTATTTCTGCTACAGCCTACTGAGATGTGAATATCGCGTAGCGACAGGGCTCAGTCTAGCTGACCTTGAGCATCGTGTCTCTGTCTGCGTACTGCGATTTGAATGACGGGCGGTTTCCGCTTGGCTTTCGCTCGAGCACAGGTGAAATGTCCTGGGATAGCCGGCTTGTGGCGTATGAGCCGACACCAAATGCTACCACCCCGCAGGCCATGAGGGAATATGCACTCCAGCCATTGTGAGGGGTTGATCTGGTGGAGATGGAACGGATTGAGCGAGAAGGAACGAGGAGGTTGCGCGAAGAAGCGACAGGACGCAGCCGGGAACCACAGCGCAGCATATTGGTATCGTGGGTTTGTCAACAAAACAATGGATCGCACAGAACAGTTAATCACAGCGGACGAAGAGAATTCGAGTGGCGTGACGCGAGGCTTCAAAAAGCAAATGAAGATCAGTGACTGGTAGTTGATGCGCTTGCCTTGAACGTGATGAACGGTGAGCGGCATGAGGCATCAGACGAGACCACGTGACCCACTCCGTTGTGAGTCGTGACTGCCAGGCCTCGAGCACAGCTCAGCTCATCCGAAGCAAGTCAGTGTGGACCCACTTATCACGACGCCGGCGACGCCAGGTCGACAACTCAAACCCGCACCGTTCATGTTCACAGCGCGCGACAAAGTATATTGGATTGACTGGGACGCCACAGATTTTCTTTCGTCAGCTGATCAGTGTCACTTTCTTATGTTGAGGCTATGTACTGCACTTGATCCAAGGTTTGGCGGTCCGAGGCTGGACCTCGCGTAATCCATACTATCCCTCTTGTCGCGCCCGGGTCAATTCTTTACATTTTTGGATATCCCTCCCACCGCATAATATTCGCCATGGCCATCATGCTCAACAATGACATGCCCATGTCTCTCGACAACACGGGCGGCGACATGGCCGACCTGTTTGGCGATGCGACTGGCCTTCCGCTCCCGCCGGCCAGCAAGCAGCTCGAGTCGAGACTCGACTGGTTGCGCTGTCGTGGCTGCTGCAAGTATGGCAGATATATATATCATGCGTGAGAGACGTTGCTGACGGACACGCACAGGACGATCGCATGGTCCAAGATAGGCACAATCGCCTCCATCACACCCAATGGCCAGGAAATCGAGATTCGCTATCTGCACACTCGTCCGGACAATGGCGAGTGGGACCTGAGCGACCCCATTGTCAGCCCTCTATTGCGTGGCAGCCCGGAGAACCCGTTGGTGCATCTCGAATGGGCAGAGACGAACAATCCGGAATTGGCCGTGTTTGACAATACCGGCAGGGTCGCCATCATCGTGTTCGCGCACACTGTCAACCAGTCTTGGCTTACTCGGTCCTGGAACGACGATGCGGTGGATGCGGCCCAGGCCATCGCCGGCTCGTACTGGCTCCCCGTCAACCCGTCCACGGGCGGCAGCGCGGGCGACAAGGCACGGCAGAGCTTCAACGTGTCCTACGGGCCGGCGACCAAAGCCGGCGGCGGCAAGGACTGGTCGTACGAGAGCTCTTTCATCCATGCGGATAGCGTCAGCCATCCCCAGGGCGGTCGCAGCGCCCTCTTGACTGTCACCATGAGCGGCATGGTCAAGATGTTCTGGATGCAGGGGAGCAACCAGCCCGAGGAAACGAGGCTGGAGCTGGAAAGTTTTGGAAACTCGGACGAACTCATCACACACGCGGCGTTCACTGCGGAGAAAAGTATGTTGTTTCATCAAATGTGATGGGGTTGACCTGCTGACACTACATGAGAATATGTTGAGCTCGCCTACATCACCACCTCGCGCCAGCTCAAGCTCGTCAAGATCGACGTCCAATGGGGCGCACAGCAAGTCCAGTCGGGAGGGCATCAGGGCACGCGCCATACCCTCAAACTCAGCGCGAAGAATTGGGCAATGACACAACTGCCCTCAGAAACTGTGGAGGATATTTCCACGCCGCACATGACGCAGATGCTGCTCATGCCCTCCATCCTCGACGACAGTGGGAAGAACATGGTGCCTCCTCTGATCATCTCCATCCGGGCCCGGTCGTCGGGGCACGGTTCGTTCGCGCCAACAAACCAGAGCGTCATCAATCGATGGGAAGCCGTCGAGAAGCCACATGCGCTCTGCTCGGCCCTAGAAAAGATGCGGTTACAACGCAACGGCGCCGCGTCCGAGGTGGCCTCAAGTATGCAGCTGCAGCCACTCGAGCAGATCGTCTTGGACAAGTGCGTTGTTGGCGTCCAGTCTGCACAGTTTGGCAAGGTCATTATTCTGGCGTTTTCGGATGGCAGCTCGCAATACCGCGATAGGTTTACCTTCGCCGAGCTGTATGCTGAGCGCAGCCTCGAAACAGTGCACCACCTGCGGCAGGTTGGGTGGACGTTTCCCGACGACTGTCAGTGCCAGCAGATCGCCTTCTCCCCATCGCACTGTTCCATGATTCAGTTGGGCGACAATGGCAAAGTGCACTGGAGTAAGCTCACTTGTGGCCAGGACGACCTGGGGAGCTCCATGAAAGACGGTCAGTTGTTGTGAGGACGCTATGAAGTAAAGTGATTAACAGTGGCCAGGCCAAACCTATGCGGCCACAATTGCTGGTCTCACAATCGCAGCAGCCACGTGTGTCAAATACTCAACAAGCTTTGACGATGTCATTGCCGTCGCTCGGCCTTATCACGCCAACCGCCCAAGTAGGTCTTTGTGGACACCTCCCCGGACCCCAGGTCTAACCAGCTGTAGGGATGGTCGCCGACTGGTTCCAAGAGCTCACCCGCATACTGTCCGTACAGACAGACTACGTGCCCGACCAGCAGCCCGATGCACTGCTGAAGAACGCGCAGCTGGCACCCATCCTGAGTATAGGAGTGTCTCTCGGCTACCATGGGGACCTGCGACCACGCAGTTTCCAGAGCAAGTTCGCGCTGCTTTGCTGCACTATCCGCAACGTGGCCTTCAACATCACGATTGCAACTAATGCTCCCTTCCCGGTGGCCAGCCGCAAAAGCCTACTAGACGACCACGGTGAGCAAAGTGCACCCGCAGTGCTGGGAGACCAAAGAAACTGACAGCATCCAGAAATCGTTGACTTTCTCGCAAGTACAATCAAGTGGTCGTTGGATCTACTCTCGTGGATCTCGTCGTCTCTCTTTGAGCTCCTGCACGACGCAGAGTTCATGGCTCGACTCACACCCGAGAGGGCGGCGGAGATGGGTCCCTATCTCGAGAAGCAGGGCGAGGTGGCCCTCCAGCTGCTCATGTGCTCGACAAGCCGGGCCTTCCTCGCCAGCCTCTGCCGCAAAATAGCGTACATGGGCCAGACGACAAACAAGGCCATGGAATATTATCAACTGCACCCCCATGTGCAAAGTAGCCAAAGCGGACAAGGAGGTCAAGCGGGCAAGGACACCCCCGGCATGCGCGCGGCCTTTGTGAAGCTACGCAAGGTCTTTGCGCAGAGCCCCATCAAAGTGGGAGACTTTGAGAAGCTCAACCAGCTCATCTCGCAGGGCATCGCGCAAGCGTACGATGCATTCCTGCCCAAGATGGCCAAGAGCCAGAGCCAAGCGCTCAAGGGCAAAGAGGAGGACGAGGCGATCAAGGCCCTGCGCGCCATGTTCGAGACGCAGATGCTCACGGCCACGGTGCCGGTGCCCGGGTTCCTGCCCCTGCTCCGCAAGCTCTTCCACGTGGACCTGCCAGCGTACCGCAAGACGACGGACATGGCCCGGCTGTTCTTTGACGAGTACTCGATGCTCACGGTGCAAGGGGACGAGAGCGCCATCAAGGGGGTGCGGCTGTCGCACATTGACGCATTCAGCAAGCAGGTGACGCGGATGGACGCGAAGAAGCAGTGGAGGCGCTGCGTGCGGTGCACGTCGATCATGGAGGACCACGGGAACACGCGCTCGCCGGGCCTGACGTTTATGGCGGCGCAGATGCGGCGTTGTCCGTGCAGTGGATCGTGGGCGTTGCTGCCGGCGGGCAAGGTTGACGCATAATGGAGGCGAGGGGAGTTGGTATAGCAACAGAACATGCCTTATTAATTCAAGCGACGGTTTTCAACAAGTGCACTGGCAGCTCTCGTCGATTCTGATGTAGAGGACTCAGTCTGTGTTGAGGGCCACGCAGAGGGTATGGCTTGCACCAGACAATATCTACAGACTATGCACATGAACTTCAGCGTTTTTGAATCAAGAACAGCAAGTGACGAAAATAGTTTCAGGCAACTATACGGAGGACGCTTTCAAAAGTCTTTGAAGCGTCCTCCGTACAGAGTCATTTAGTCGTCGACAATTGGAAGCAGGTGACTTGGTTCTCGATCTAGGTTAGGTAGAAAACCCACTGTAGCACCACGTCCATGTCGATGGCGGTGAAGTCGACTGTCACGTTACCCCCATTGAGCCATGGAGGGCAGCCAGCATCAGTGCAGTCTTTAGGATTTAGATGCAGCCCCTGATGATGCAGCCGACGCATCACCTGCATCTGGCCCTAGGCGCGGCCAGGATTCTACAGCATGTACGTACATCCAATGCCTGATGCCAACAAGTACAACCACCAACGACGTCGAACAACAACTCTGGACGCCAAACACCTGCCTCCTTTGCTAGTCTACCGAGGAGGCGCCGACGCGACGATCATGAGGATCTACGCGTAAAGTGGTCTCGCGACAAATCAGACCGTGGTCCCCTCCAGATCGGATCAAAGTTGCAGCGCTAATCAGGCGGCGTCAGGGGCAGAGATCGAATGAGGCATGGGGGCGACAGGGGCCCAGCCGCCGCCCAGAGAACGAGCGAAAGCGGATCTACGTAGAAGCGCTTCCAGCGATTTTAATTTAATTAAACAATCATGACCACGTACGTACGCACCGTACGCGCAATGCAATCTGTGCCGTGCGGTCTTATCGCCGTGGGATCCATTACAGACGATCAGGGGCAGCAAACGAACGAACATGTGAGGCATATCAAGACCAACTGGATCAACACGCGGCCATCAGGTGGAATGAAGCCGACGTGGGACGATGTCAGCGTGCAGCTGGTGTAGAATGCAAATACGTACGTACGTGACTGATTTGGCGCAAGGAGGCGTGGTGTCACATTAAGAAATGGAAGGCATGAACTGCCACGGCGGCTGGAAGCCTCTTCCCGCGCGCTAACGGTGTTTCTCGTGTACCTCAAGGTAAATCTGCGCCCGCATTCCATCACAGCAAGCTCAATAATGACTACAAGCCAGTGCACATGTTGATGCTGTCCATTGCCGGAAGAACTCGACAAATTGAGTTGATAACCAGTCGTCCATCAATGACCAGCTCATTAGCCAACTGCAGTCTGCATCGTCAATATTAATTAAGACCGACGCCTGGAAGAGTGGAGCCACTGAGATGGGGTGGAGAGGACTCAGGGCCACCAATCAAGGCGACCGCCTGACCTGACGCCAGCGCTAGCGCAGGAACCACGCCGGGCAGATGACGCCCATTGGCCGACGGGGCTGCCAATAAACCAGGTACCCCTTTTTGATAGCGATGGGACACCGCCAGCCACCCACCAGTCCAGGACTCCAGCCCAGCCACAGTGGCCAATGAGGAGCGGCGTGCCCGTCGACCTCGCGACATCTCACATCTTCATTTGCGCTGTCTTGCCATCGCCCTCGCACGTCCAGCCTGCCCATTCGACGATTGTGCGTGCATGTGCCTCGCTCGCTCGTGGCCTCAGCTCCCGTCCTGTTTGATTGATGCCTGCTGCTCAACGTCCATTCGACCAGGTCGCGCTGCACTAACCCACTGCCGGCAGTCACAAGGTCGCATTGGGCGCGGCTCGTTCTAGGACCTCCCTCTTCAGTCCCATCTAGTCCCTCATTGTCCATCTCCGGACAGCACTGGCCAAGGCAGCCGCACGATACTATTATTATGGCCTCCTCACCTCTTCATGCCCACGCCCAGGGAGACCAAGGCCACCACCGCATGTCGATCCCTGACCAGTTCGAGACCGACACTGTCTCTGCTTCATCTGATCCAACACCCCGGCCCCTCGCTACGACAACCTCCCCATCACCGTCCCCGTCACCGTCCCCGTCACAGTTGCCCCGACCTCAGCGTCAGCACCTCCCACACCGTCTGTCGCATCACCAGCCCTCGGCCTCCATCTCTTCGGACGAACCGTACGACCAACGACACGCTCCATCCCATTCGCAGACGGCCAGCGTCGCAGCAGCACACCAGCCTGTCACCACATCATCCCCGACGAATAGCAGTCACCCGCGTACATCCTCGTCTGCCTCGCGCACCAACATCATCAAGAGGAAGCCGTTGTCCTCGACAGCCCAAGCCTTTGCCATTCGCTTTTCTCAGGGTTCTGCCGCGTCGAGTGTGCCCTCGCCGCTCGACCTCCCCAAGCCAGACCACCGCTTCTCCAGGTCTGGCTCGGTAGACAGCCCAACCCTCTACGAGTATCCCACGTCTAGCCGTAGGGATACATTGTCCGATTTGTGAGTACCTACTACTACGTATACTGCCCACGTCGATCAGAGTACTGACTGGATGGCTCCCCGTGCCGTAGACCAACCTCTGCTGCTGTGAAACACGAAATCCCGTCGGCCGATTCGCAAAGCATTCCAACCACAGAAAACCACAAAATAGACCCAGGGTCCCAGACAGACCAGTCGGACGACGCTCTCTCTGGCTACGACGACTTGCTGTCTGACCTGGCACCCGACGTTGGTTCCGCCGCGACACCCAAGGCTGCTGCGTTCGAGCAACGCGACAGCGATCACGACGTCGTCGACGACGACGACACCAACGACGACGACAAGTCCACGTACTCCGATCCCATCGACCGATACCAGTCCCCGCCTCCCATGTTTGCGGCCAGACCCACGCCACCACACCTACACATACAGACGGACGATTCCTCCGTTACCCAGGACGCCTCACCAAGACCCGACAACGAGTCGCCCTCGTCGGCGCAGCTCAACAAGCCGCTGCCCAAATCACCAAGCGGAGGCGCCCCCTCACCCTTTGCGGCCTTTTTCGGCTGGGGCAACCCATCGCCTTCCGCGACGGAATTCTCTTCCATACCGTCCCCCCAGACCCCGGCCAGGAGGGGGACGGCCCATGACGTGCCGCAGACGCAGCTGATCCGCTCGCTGTCCGACTCCAAGGCGTACGACGGCGCGGGCAATGCCCTCGGCTATTGCGAGTCCTTCCTCTCGACCCCGCCCCCTTCGAGCTACGCGACACCGGCCCTCGTAGAAGAGATGGAGGAAGAACTCAAGGCTATCAGCTCCGAGCTGGCCGGCTCGATCCGTAGGGAGATGGATCTGGAAGATCTCGTGGACCGGCTCCAGGAGCAAGTCAATAACCCCCAGCCCCCGAGCAAGAGGACCAGCGACTACTTTTCAGACTCTGGCTACGGCTCAGTCAAGGCCAGTGAGACGGAGCAGAGCCGTGACGAGGTGGGAAAGGTGCAGAGGAGGTCAGAGCAGGAGAAGGCGTCGATCCGGCTGGAGCTGACGAGCAAGCTGCAAGAGGAGCGGTCGAAGCGACGCGAGCTCGACCAGCAGATCAAGGACCTCGCCGAGCGGGCGTCCCACATTGACCTGGCGCAGATTAACAGTGTCGACGCCAACGAGAGAGTGCGCGACCTCGAGAACACGTGCGAAGATCTCCGGCGCCGCCTGTCGGAGGAGCGGTCTTCCAAGGGCAACTTTGAGGACCTGCTCAAGGCGCTCAAGACGGAGCTGCAGGACGCCTGCAACGAACGCGACAACCTGCGTGACGAGGTGGTGCCCCAGCTCCGGTCCCGGGTGGAGGGTCTCGAGACGGAGGCGGCCGAGTACGCCAACCTGACGTACGAGTCGACCAAGATGCAGCAGGAGCTGCAGACGCTCAAGGAGGAGAACACGACGCTCCGACGGGGCTCGGTCATGGCCGAGGCGCCGTCGCGTGCGTCGCGCGTCATGTCGGGCAGCCTGAGCCGGTCCAACTCGGTTGCGGCGACGATGCGGAGCCAGCGGACGCCCATGGGCCTGTCGCGCTCGAACAGCGTCAAGACGGGGCCGGTCGAGTCGCGCGAGGCGCTGGCCGAACGGCTCAAGGACGTCGAGGCGCAGCGGGATGCGCTCCACGGGGCGCTCAAGAACCTGCTGGAGCGACAAGAGTTCCAGAACCGCGAGTACCAGAAGCGCATCCACCTCCTGGAGACGGAGCGCGAGCGTCTGGTCACCGGGCCGACCAAGCGTGGCGGGTTCGAGCGGGAGATTATGACCCTACGCACCGAGATTAATGTGCTCCGACGTCGTGCTGAAGATGCGCTGGAGCAAAAGTGGCAGGTCGAGAAGGGCCTGGGCGGCCTCAAGATGGATCTCGACAGGGCCGAAGGGGAGATTGCCTCGCTGCGGGCGCTGCTCGACGAGAAGGACATTCTCATCCCCGAGACCTTGGCCCGCGCCAGCAGCTCGAGCAACGGCTCGTCGTCAGGGGCCCCTGTCACGTCCGAGTCCCTCCGCATCGCCTACCAGCAGCTACAGGCGGCCTATAAGGAGTCGCTGGAGCGTATCAAGGAGCTGGAGGCCGGTGTGGCGTCGGACGAGCAGACTCTGCTGGCCATGCAGCGCCTCGAGGATGCCGTCTCGGTGGCCGTGACGGAGCGCGATGAGGTGCGGAACGAGCTGGACGCGCTCCGGCGTCAGTACGACCAAGCGTCTGCCAGCGAGGCCCGGAGCGTCGAGGCGGAGCGGGACATGGCGAGCGACCTGGTGGAGTCGGCGCAGCAGGTGGAGCAGCTCGCCTGCCAGGTGCACCAGCAACTGGCGGCCAACGCGAACCTACGGATGCGTCTCGCGGACGCGGTGACGCGGGGCGACACGGACCGCAAGGCCAACAATGACCGCATCACCAGCCTAATGGAGCGTCTCCGGGGTCTCGAGGACCAGCTCGTGGCGGCGCAGAGCGCGTCAGAGGACAGCGTGAATCGTCACGAAGAGGAGATTGCCAAGCTACGAGATGCGCACAACGGGCACCTCCGGCGCATGGACGGCAGCCCTGCGATGGGGGGACTGCGGTCCCCGGCGCTGCGGACGTCCCGCAAGGGTTCGCTGCTGCCGACGCCAATCAACACCTCGTCCCCATTCCCGGCATCGCCGCGGCTGGCGGCTGTCTCGTTCGAGGACGAGGCGGAGATGGGGGCGCTCCGTGCCAAGGTGCTGGAGCTGGAGAAGGCGCTGTCGGACACGGAGCAGGAGATGCAGGAGGTGGTGACGCGGATGAGCACGGCGCAGGTGGAGGTGCTGAACCTGCAGGAGGAGCGGGACGCGGCGGTGCGTGAGACGAGGCGGCTGCAGAGGGTGCTCGAGGGGGAGCAGATGAGGGCGTTTGAGGATCGGTTCAAGACGCTGCAGGGGAGTGTGGCCGCGTGAAGTGATCTTGGGGACTGACATTACGGATGCATGAGCGATTGGCGTTTTGGCTTTCAAACACACACACACACACACACACACACACACACACATGCACGTATATATAAAATGGGTTTGGGATGCATTGGCCAGCATCGCCAAAGTGGCTTCTGGGAGGCATCGCTTGGGCATAGTGCCGGGGGAAGGCGAGTACGGATACATTCGTGTACATATATCTTCCATGTCCATCTATGTATGGCAATGGGTGTCTGTTGGATCAAAGGAACTAGACAAGCCATATATAATGTATTACATATTTTCAAGAGTTTCATGAGGAGGTGGCCAGTAGTTCTCATTAACCGCCCCATGTGTCCTCGAGCATCCGCAGCGATGCTCGTTGGGGTGCACGTGACGGAGCCCCTGAGGGAGGTTGCAGCGTCGTGCATAGGGATGCGCACGATCTGATATGTGAGGCAGTTGGAGAAATGATATCGTCTTTTCTGTTGAAAAAGAAATAATATCGTCCTGTCAGAGGGTAGTAGTGCACATTGAGATGGAGGCTGGGGCTGGGCGTGGGGGATCCGGCGATCCGCGTCCAGTCTGACTCTTATCTATCCCACGCGAGGACGAAGGACAGGACAGGACCCCTGCCCGATAAGAACCTCATGCGCGAAGCAGCACCTCGGAAATGTCGCTGGAAGAGGCTGCAGCAGTGCAGTCCAGGGAGCCGAATGGACAGTCCATAATGAACGTAGCAAGCTGCCAAGTCAGGTCAGACCAGAGCGCTGAGAGGGAGCTTGACTGAGCGCGTCCATGTCGTTATCAGTGAATAGTAATAGAGGCGCGACAGTGTCTCGATGCCCTTACACATGGAATGCTGGCGCTTATCTCTGCCGGGGTATCTCGACCCTGATTCTACTTTCTGGGGTAGCCAATTCGTCCACGTACGTATTCGCTTTGCGTCAGGACTCAGGCGCGATTGATTGTCGTGGACACGCTGATGCGCTGCGCATCATCGAATGGCAGGCCACACGCGACCACCAGTCCACCACCACCACCACCACCACCACCAGACGGCAGACAGTCGAGCAGAAGCAATGCGAAACCATGTACGTACTACGTACTGTGCTGTACGTGACAGAGCATGCAGCCACGGCGATGGCGGGCTGATTGCTGCTGCTGCTAGTCTAGTAATTGGGCTAGTCAGTTGGTGCATGTGGATGGCGAACGGGCGCTCGAGGCTTTAACTCTGGCCTGGGCCCCTCAGCATCTCCGCCGCAGCCTATCTATCTCTCTTCGTCTCTTCAGTCTACATTCCATTCCATTCCTTCCCACGGGCGGCACTCTCTCCATGTCTCTTCCGACTAGGACATGATTTTTTTTTTCTTCTTCCTCCCCGTCGAACAAGGAGAGCGCTCCCGCTGAACGCAGTCCCTCACCTGCGCCTCACATCATCGACACCATTACTATCATCACCACCACCACCACCACCACCGCTACGCCCTGCCCTCTCGCTCGGTGAGGGACGACTCTCTGGCCCTGGGGGTCCAGTTCGACTGACACTGCGCGATTGTCGTGCCCACCCGCGCACGCGCGCCCAATCTGCCGACCATGGCCGACGACAACCTCGACTACGTCGTCCTCGTGCCCTACAATGGCACCACGGCGCAGGGCGCCAACCCGCTCGACTTTGACGTCAACGTCTGGTACGAGGTACGTTCACAGGCAGCGAGCGCACTTGATTCGACATTACTAACCAACCCGCAGGCCGGCGACATTGCCTGGATCCTCACCTCGACCGCCCTCGTCCTCCTCATGATCCCCGGCGTCGGCTTCTTCTACTCGGGCCTCGCTCGCCGCAAGTCCGCCCTCTCCCTCATCTGGCTCTCCGTCATGGCCGCCGGCGTCACTTGCTTCCAGTGGTTCTTCTGGGGCTACTCCCTCACCTTCTCCCACACCGCGGGGCCCTACATTGGCAACCTCGACAACTTTGCCCTCATTAACGTCCTCGCCCGCCCCTCGGTCGGCTCCGAGCGCATCCCCGACCTGCTCTTCGCCGTCTACCAGGGCATGTTCTCCGCCCTCACCGTCGCCCTCGCCACCGGCGCCGTCGCCGAGCGCGGCCGCATGCTGCCCTGCGTCGTCTTCATGTTCATCTGGGCCACCGTCATCTACGACCCCATTGCCTGCTGGACATGGAACCCGTCCGGCTGGTCCAACCGCATGGGTGGCCTCGACTTTGCCGGCGGCACCCCCGTCCACATCGCCTCCGGCTCCGCCGCCCTCGCCTACTCCATGATGCTCGGCAAGCGCCGCGGCCACGGCACCCACGAGCTCAACTATCGCCCCCACAACGTCACGCACATTGTCGTCGGCACCGTCTTCCTCTGGGTTGGCTGGTTCGGCTTCAACGCCGGCTCCGCCCTCTCCGCCAACCTGCGCGCCGTCCTCGCCGCCGTCAACACCAACCTCGCCGCCTGCGTCGGCGGCATGACCTGGTGCCTCCTCGACTTCCGCCTCGAGAAGAAGTGGTCCACCGTCGGCTTCTGCTCCGGCGTCGTCGCCGGCCTCGTCTCCATCACACCCGGCTCCGGCTTCGTGCCCCCCTGGTCCGCCGTCCTCTTTGGCTTCTTTGGCGCCTCCTTCTCCAACTACGCCACCAAGCTCAAGTTCCTCCTCCGCGTCGACGACGCCCTCGACATCTTCGCCGTCCACGGCGTCGGCGGCCTCGTCGGCAACCTCCTCACCGCCTTCTTTGCCGCCGACTACGTCGCTGCCCTCGACGGCGTCACCCGCATCGAGGGCGGCTGGCTCAACCACCACTGGATCCAGCTCGCCCACCAGCTCGCCGACTCGGTGGCCGGCGGCGCCTACTCCTTTGTCGGCACCGCCCTCATTCTTTTCGTCCTCAACCTGATTCCGGGCCTGCGCATCCGCGCCTCCGAGGACTCTGAGATTCTGGGCATGGACGACACCGAGATTGGCGAGTTTGCCTATGACTACGTCGAGCTCACCCGCGAGGTCCTCAATGACGTCGACCACGAGGCTGGCAGTCGCTATTCGGCCGACCCCGCCGCCTTTCATCACATGGAGAAGCACAACATGCAGCTCATGGGACTGGGCCCGGGGTTGGGGCCTGGGCCGGCAGGGCCCAATATGTACGCTGCCAACGGGGGGCCGTCAGGCATGGCGGGGCATGCCATGTGATTGAATGAAGCGTAGCAATCTATTTTCTGTTTTGGCCATGCAGGCAGTATATATACCTGAGATACCCTATTTATGATTGTTACATACATGTTTTATGGTGTATGTTGTGACTTGTTCCGCAGCCAGGTGACGTGGTGGTTCACGCTCCATCATCTCACGTGACCACTCTAGCTCACCTCGAGCCAGGCAACCATCCTCACTCCTCACTTCACTCACTCACTCACATAGACACGTGTAGCCTGCACCAGATATGGAGCTCCCTCACCATGACTACTTCCTCCTTTCATCAACACCCCTCGAGAGCCCGACATGACAATGGACGGCACCATCTCCCTCGCCGATAAGCGATACCTGTTCAAAAAGCTGGAAACACCCACCGACGATGCATTGAGCCTAGAGGAAATATCGCTGCGTCGTGATTGCGATGACTTCTTCAAACCCAAGCCCAAACGACCTTCACCACCGACGTCGGCGAGGGCAGCGCCGCACACGACACCCAGAAGAGTCTCATCGGCGCCCCAGGCACTGAAGCAGGGCGACGCATCCAAGGTCATCCAAAACACACCTGCAAGCGCCTACGCACGCAAAGGAGTGCTTCACAGCTTGCTCCAAGGCACAGAATCCGATGACACGGCCATCGCCATCCCTGCCTCGATCCATCGTCTTCAACGCAGCGAGACGGCGCCGCTCCCACTGCCGAAACGAATGACGAGTGAGTATGAGACCGAGACGCCGACAGTCACAAAGCGGCGGCGGCGAAAGGACAACGACGTACCACCGAGACCAGAGAGCGAGCAGATCTTCCAGGATCTAGTGTTTTACTATGTGCCCAACAACGACATTGCCCCCGCGCGGAGGATGAGAATGGCCAAGGCAAAGGCATGCGGTGCGACCAGAACAGAATTTGCTTCGGGGGCCACCCACTTTATCGTGGACAAGGCGCTCACGTTTCAAGATGTGGAGGCCCACCGGGCCACGGCGACACGAGGGGTGGCTGTCGTGAACGAGGACTGGCCGCTGGACTGCATGCAGTTCAGGACCATACTGGATGTCGGGCAGAAGAAGTACTTGCTGCGCGGACAGCCCGACGCCCTGCCGCCCGCAGGTGAAGCAGCAGCACCGCCAACGAGCTCGGGGGAATCGGCGCGTTCGCTGCAGCTGAAGCCGCCGCAGAGGAACCCGAAGAAGTGGGATTACGTACCGCCCAGAGGGACGCCCGGGAGGAGTGAAGAGTCTTCCCTGGAAGCCGGGCCGCGCGGTGGCGAGTCACAGCCTGTGGTTCTCGACCTGGGCGCTATGGTGGAACCGACTGCCACCCATGTGGAGAGCTCAACACCGCTCCAAGACGCCAAGGGCGACGAGTTGTCCAGCGTCATCGACTTGATGCAGGAGTATAGGGAACTCCCACTCGATGCCGAAGAGCATGACGATGAAGACGCGCGCTCCAACGCCGGGACAGTCGAAGACATATCCAGCGCAGACGAAGAGGCGGGCTCCGAGGGAGAACGCAGCCGCACAGCACCCCGTCCCACATTGCGAGGCAAGAAGATGCGCTTCGAGGAGCGGTTCGCGTGCAATCAAGCCACGGCGCAGGACGCCCGCCCCGACAACCCGAACGCCAGGACGATGGAGGTGCTGCAGCAGATGGCGAGCTACTACGACCGCATCAACGACAATTGGCGCACCATAGCCTATCGGAAGGCCATCAGCACCCTAAAGCGGCAGGACGTGCGCATCACCACAGAACAGGAGGCGCTCCGACTGCCGGGCGTCGGTCCACGGCTGGCGCAGAAGATTGAGGAGATTGTCACGACGGACCGTCTTCGACGGCTCGAGTACGCGGAGGATGACCCCATGGGCAAGGTGCTACAGCTGTTCATGGGCATCTACGGTGTTGGCAACAAGCAGGCACAGCAGTGGATCGCGCAGGGGTTCCGGACGCTGGACGATCTGAAGAGGGACGCCAGGCTGTCTGCCAATCAGCTCATCGGCATAGAGCGGTATGACGACCTGCAGCAGCGCATACCGAGACACGAGGTGGAAGCGCTCGGCAGCATTGTGAAGAAGACCGCCGCAGGGATCGACGCTGCCGTAGAGATTATCATCGGGGGTAGCTATCGACGCGGGTCCCAGACGTCGGGCGACATTGACATTGTGGTGACCAAGCCCGGCACGGAGGTGTCTGGCGACCTGGTGCCGTTTCTCGACACGCTCACGAGGACCCTCGAGGCGCGCGGGTTTCTGGTGGCGTGCCTGGCCTCGTCGCGGTCCGCCGAGGGTAGCAAGTGGCACGGATGCTGCGTGCTGCCATCGTCGTCGTCGTCTTCGACAGAGCAACGTCACCCCTGGCGACGCATCGATTTCCTGCTGGTGCCGGAGACGGAGCTGGGCGCGGCGCTCCTCTACTTTACGGGCAACGACATTTTCAACCGCAGCATGCGCCTGCTCGCCAGCAGAAAGGGGATGCGGCTGAACCAGCGCGGTCTCTACCGGAATGTGCTGCGCGGTGCCGCGGGGGCCAGGGTGACCGAGGGGGAGCTCGTCGAGGGGCGGGACGAGAGGAGGATCTTTGAGCTTCTGGGTGTCCAGTGGCGCGAGCCGCACGAGCGGTGGTGCTAGGGAGGCGGTAATTAGGGAGCGTGTCTGTCCAGTATTATAATGATCAGTGGTGTTGCTATGATGCTACCTACAACTAATAGTCCGAGACTGCCTGTCACATGCCAATTGCCCCGCCCGTTGCACTAACAATTTCCCCCACAGAGACGTCATGGGTCCCTGTGGAGGCGGAACCGGACTGGAATTGGCAGGAGCCCTCGGCGGCCCGTGCGCCTGCCTGAATACCCGCCTGTGGCCCGAGGCTCGCAAGCGGCATGCCATCCATGGACCATCTCCAACCACGACAAGACGTCCATTCTCCATCCCCCAGTCTTGCTCCATGATTGCTTCATGATACCTACTGCGAAGCTTCGCGTTCTGCCCTGAACGCTACTCCACAGCCTCGTCGACTGGACCTCCCAAGACCTACGCGACTGCCATTCACCCATCCATCCATCTGCAGCCGCTACCAGCCGAGGCGCAACTCACCACCGCGCTCACCATCACCATGGCCTCCACCCTCGACGGCATCAAGGTAATGTGTCCTATGCCGCGCAGCCTCCACGCAGAGACTGACAAAAACTACAGGCCGCCCTCGAGCAGATTGTCCGCGACCCCAAATACCACGACGTCCTCTCCCTCGTCAAGACTGCCCGCAATGGCGCCGTGTACGGGACCAAAGTGCGCTTTCCCCACGCGCTCGTGTACGTGTCTACTGCGAAATGATGAAAATAATAGCTAACATGATCTCAGCATGATCTTTCTTTTCCGATCGGGAACGTACGTTAACCTGCTCCTTACCACCAGCCGGACCTAACCTGTTTCGTGCACAGCTTTCGACAAAAAGTCGGCCTTGTGCTGCGCGCAACGAGACACCACGCCTCCAACCTGGCCCGCTTTGCCAGTATATACAAGCTCACCATGATGGCGCTGAAGCGATTCGGTCCCACGCCCGGCAAGGAAGGTCAGTGGATTCGCTCTGCTCTGCGCTGCTCTGCCGCTCCAAGCATAGCAGCACCCCCAGAATGACTCGACACTAACAGAGAGCAAGGTCCCTACGACTCCTTCTTCGCCGGCCTCCTGGGCGGCTACTTTGTCTTTGGCGGCCGCTCCCCGCGCACGGGCAAGATCTCCTCGGTCAACCAGCAGATTGTCATCTACATCTTTGCCCGCGTCGCCCTCGCGCTCGCCCGCATCGCCGTCAAGCCGGGCCACGGCCTGCCCCTCGTCTCCGCCGAGCCGCTGCACTCCAGGATCAGCTACTACGCCTGGCCGGCGTTTGCCAGTCTCAGCTGGGGCGCCGTCATGCTGCTGTTCAAGCACCACCCCGAGGACCTGCAGTCGAGCCTGCGCAGCAGCATGACGTACATCTACAAGGACTGCGACAGCTGGGATGACCTGCGCACGTTGGTGTGGCACAACAAATAGAGCGGGGGTTTTAACACTATCTAGACTTTTCATGCCTTGGACTGGATGCACTTTTGGATATTCGATTGGCGTTTGATGGGCTTTGCATGGCCAACAGCAGCATGTTTTGAAGGGCGCATGGATTTCGGGTAGAGGATGGATGACCACATGATGTATACATCTGTATATATACACGCACATATATACACTGCTATGCCTGCCAAGGGAGACGGAGAATAGGTTTGCGCCTGACCACCCGTGTACCGTCAAACAAGCAGTGGACGCCTGGTTCGTATCTATCCGGGCTACGCCCGGGCACGCCCCTCGACCAGGCCTGCACCCTCGAGCGCAGGTCAGCGTCCACGGCCGAGGCGCTAAACCACCGTCCAAGGCGGTTCGCCCAGGATCCCAAGACGACAGACTGCCAGGGCACCTGTCCACGCCGGACGCGGTCGTATTCCTCTGGCGTCCGTGCCAGACGCACGCTTGGGTTCATCCAGACGCCCCTCGCCCCCGCCCTGTCGACCTGCAGCAAGCACGTCTCGTCCGCTTCGATGCGCTTGTCGGCAAGCGAATCGTCAATGGCCCGGAAAGCAAGGTTCACGTCGTTGTCGTAGAATGGCGCAGCGTTCATGGCCACGAGGCCGCCCCAGCAGGACCGGACGGCGACAGGGGCCCCCTTTTGCACGGCAGCGCGGGATGTCGGGGACAGAAACCACGGCCAGCGGCTCGATAGGATCGGATTCCCCTGATCGTCGCGGGTAGCCGTGGCCTCTGCGAGACGCGAGGACGGATCGAGCGTCGTGGCGCATGCCGTCGTATAGTTGCCCCCGCGGGTGTTGAGCAGCTCGACGACGTCGTCCGGCTCGAAGATGGCGTGGTCATCCACCCACAATATCCTGTCAAACGTCCTGCCCTCTTCCTGCTGGAGACGTCTCAGCGGCACCAGGGCTTCGTTCCGGAGGCTGGCCAGCAGCGGTGTCTCCCGGAATGCCCACTGCCTCTCCCGCTCGAGCCACAGCCATCCACCCTTCATGTTCCGCGGCACGGGTGGGTTGTCGACCAGCGTCGCCAGCTCGTGGCCCGTCATGCCGTAGGTGAATGTGTTGCTGGCGCCGAGCCGCTCCAGTCCGAGCTGCAGCTGCCTCAGCTCGTTGCGGGTGCCGTCGCTCGAGTAGGCCTCGGCGATGGATACGTGGACAGAGCTGTCCTGGCCCAGGGCCTCGACGAGCCGCAGCAGTGCGTCACTCCACGAGGCGTGCAGTAGGGGCGCCGAGTCTCGGTGTATCGAGGCAATGAAGATGTCGCCCCCGTTCTCGGCCGTGTGTCGCGGGCTCACGGGTGACGACAGAGAAGCCGGAGCAGCCGGGCGGCTTGCCACGAGGAGCAGCGCATCGAGGAGGAGCAAGGTGAGGAGAGCGATGATGATACGGAGAAGAGGGAGCCGTCGCAGGCGGACAGGTCGGATGAGCATCGCATCCTCAGCATGCACGCATCATGGGCGGTCGACCGTCTGGATCAAGTGGGAGGAAATGGTGCTGCTGCTGGCTGAGGCGAGTCTGAGGCACTGGTGGGCGGGCTTGGCCATGCACCGGGAGGCTCGGCAGCTCCAGTCTCGTATTGGCATTGACGCGGCGCCTGGGACCGTTGCAATGGGTTTCATGAGGCGCTGGAATGGGACCTGAGACATTGCATAAGCTTAATTGTAACTTCAGACTCGAGCTAATGAATCTAGCTACCCGTTGATACACGCGAGTCGTGCGAAGCAGGCACGTGTACATGTAGCTGTGTAAGTGCATCCAGGCCGCAGATCATTCAAGTGAGTCAGGGATTGTGCATGGCTCGATCCAAAGTGCGCACGTGACCTTCAATTCACCCCTTCAACCCTTCAAAGCTTTGACGACAGGGACTTTGGGAGCGCAAGGAGACGCCTGTTCACCAAGTCGACTGCCTGCCTCGCCAGGCCCCAGCTGAAGGCATAGCCACCGCTGCCCGTCCCATACGCGTGGATCACGCACTGGCCGCCCAGCTCCTCCTCCTCGAGCCTCACGGTCTTCCTATACGGCCGGACGCCGACGAGGTCTCGGATGATCTCCAAGTCCTTGACGTCGGAAGACGGGAAGTGCTGCGGCAGGTTCTCGCTTATGCGACGTACGATCTGCAGTCATCATGTCAGCTCATTCATAGGGCGTCGCTCGTCTGGGCTTACTCACATCTTGTCTCGTCGCCTCGCTGGCGCGAGGATCCGTGCTCCCCGTGTCCTTGATGCCACCGAGAACAGCCGTCCCGTCCCCCCGTGCGAGGTGATATGTGTAGGCCTCGCCTCGCCGGATCCACAGCTCGTCAAAGTTGCTTCGCACCAGCACCGTCTGCCCGCGCACGGGGCTCATGGTGTGGTCCTGGACATCTTTCAGATACATCGGTCCACTGCCGCTGGCGTTGATGAGCACATCGTGCCCCATGCCCTTGAGATCAGCGAGTGAGCGGACAGTCGCCCTCTCGAACGTGACGCCCTTCGCCTCAAGACGCTTGCGCAGCCACGGCAGGAGGATGGACGGCGTCAAGATGATGGTTGTGTAGGAGACGCCCAACTTGGCCCCCGGTGGGAGCTCCCCTTTGTCCATGACCCTAAAGTCAGGCACCCTGTCTCTGTACCAGATGTCCTCCAGGGATGCATAGTCAAAAACATCGTAGACCACCGTCTTCTTGACACTCGACGCGGGGAACCGCTCGGCCAGATGGAGCCAGTACGCCAGCGCGTCGAGCTGCATCGTCTGCTCCGAGGGGGTTGATCCCTCCTCCGCTACCCAGCAGGCACCGGCCCATGGACTGGCCCATTCTATGTTGTCTGGATCGCCGGGGAGGTTGCGCGCCACGATGGTCACCTCGCAGTGCTTGGGCAGCGTGGCCGCAATGGCCATGCCCGTGATGCTGTGACTTGGGTCAGTAGGTTCAATGCTTGGTAGATCGACCTGGAGAGCTCACCCGGCGCCTAGGATCGTGACTTTGGTCATCTTACAGGACAGTGCCAATGTCTGATTTCATGAAGAATGACTGGGCATGTAAAGGAACATGCCAAAGCCAGCCCCAATGCACGTGCGCAAGGTAGGCTGGATGACTTCTGCCTGTAGTTACCCCACCAAGACTCGCCCCGCCCACCGCGGTGAAGCTGCAGCTACTCCACATTCTGCCATCCTGCCATCAGCAATCATCGTCACTCGCTTCGAGAGCTGTAGCACACACAGCCAACGCCTCCGAAAACCCTCCCCATTGAAGACGGATCAAAGACACTCGACACTCGGCATCATGGCGCCAGATCCGGCTGTCCTGCAAAGACTCCAGGTCATCGCATCCAAACCCATCGACCAACAGCCCGCCCTCTACGAGAATGCCCTCGCCTACATCTGCGACAGCTCCTCAGCGGACGCGACGGCCGACAACTTTATCGCCGTCATCTCCACGCTTTTCGAGCATCCCTCTGGCGTGGTCATGTCTCGATCCGTCCTCGCCGCGTTTGTAGCACGACTGAGGGACCTCAAAAACCATGACCTCTGGATCGACGTCGGCAATCGCACCCTGGACATTCTGGCCGCGCAGTCCGCCGTCTTCCCCGATGCCGTCGCCGTCCTGCGCGAGCTCATCGCCACGGCGCACGAGAACAATGAAGACTTTGTCGAGGCGGCCAAGGTCCTGGCCGACATCCCCCTCGACTCGTCACAGCGCCAGGTCACCGTCCAGGAGCGCGCCACGACCTGGATCCGCATCGTCCGCAACTACCTCGAGGTCGACGACAGCACCGCCGCGAGCGCCTACATCTCCAAGCTCAAGAACATTATGCACCGGGTCCAGGACCAGGGCCTGACGCTGCACTTCAACCTGTCCCAGGCACGCATCCTCGACGCGCAGCGCGAGTTCCTCTCGGCGGCCAACAAGTACCACGAGATCAGCTTCTCGCTCGCCATCGCGGAGGAGGAGAGGCTGCACACGCTGAGCATGGCAGCCAAGTGTGCCATTCTGGCGCCAGCCGGGCCGCTGCGAAGTCGGACGCTGGGCCGACTCTACAAAGACGAGCGGTCGGCGCAGCTGGACGAGTTTGGGATCCTGGAGAAGATCTTCCTGGACAGGGTGCTCACAGCCAAAGAGGTCGAGACCTTTGCCGAGGGTCTGCAGCCACACCAGCTGGCGACCACGGCGGACGGCACGACCGTCCTGGCCAAGGCGGTCATGGAGCACAATCTGCTCGGCGTCTCCAAGCTGTATAGCAACATTCGATTCGACGCCCTCGGGTCGCTCCTGGGTCTGGACGCCAACAGGGCGGAGGAGACGACGGCGAGGATGATTGAGCAGGGCCGACTGGCGGGGCGGATCGATCAACTCGGAGGGCTCGTCTACTTTGACGGTGGCGAGGCCTCTGGTCAGAAGGGGAGTGGCCGCACAGAGACTGTCGTGGGCAAGGAGATGAGGCGATGGGACGCCAATGTGGAGAGTCTGTCAGAGGAGGTTGAGAATATCACAAACGCGCTCGACGAGCAATTCCCGGTAAGCTGGACACTCCCGCGAACCCGCGAAGGACATGGACCTCTGGCTAACTTTCTCAGGCTTTCGTCGAGGCAAATCTGGCCTAGGGCGGCATAGAACGGAATAAAGACGGGGGGAACGGGAACAAATAGGCATCAAGAGGGCATGGCATGGCGCAAACGGGCACGGTTCATTCAAAAACACAGCATAGGACAGGGCTTTCTTTCGCAAGCGACGCTAGTAGCGTGCATCATGGCGTATACATTCACTCCAGGTCCCTCTTCCTCACGACGACGTAACCTGCCTTGATGTCTCGTTTGTCGGCGCCGTCGCCCTCCTCTTCAAAGACCCGGTCGTCATCCTCGTACTTGGTCGGCCTCCTCGCTGCCGACGACGGCTTGCTTGATGAGTAGCGATCCTTGCTCGTCGTCTTTTGCAGGTCCTGCTTGAGCAAGGGGATGAACGCATCCGCGATATGGGCGCCCATCCAGTTGTACCCATCCACCGTCAAATGCAGACCATCATCCCACAGCGTGTCCTGCTCATCTTCGGTGAGAGAGTGGTACGGTATATGTGATCGTAGATCAAAGGCATGGCTAGACTTGCTGTCAGCTCAACACATCTCTGTGATAGCTCACCCAGCCTCAACTCACTAGTTCTCAGCCTGGTAGCTCATGATACGGTCGTTGACAATCTTCCTCGCGCGATCCAGCCGTTCGTGCCGGGCGCCGCACTCAGGAATCGTCAGGGCCAGGATCTTGCACCCTTTTCGAAGGACGCGGTGCCAATGGTCGTGCAGAGCCTGAAATATGTCCTCTGGCGACACGAACGAGCCAAGATCACTGTCGTCGTGTTTAGTCCTGTCTGTCTACATGTGGCAGCAACGAATGGAGGAAACGCACTTTGTCCCACCGAGCATGATCACCCAGTCGTAGGTCCTTTTCTCTACTAACACGCAGGGAGGAACGTCAGCTTGGCAGATGTAGCGGGCCTGGTAGGCAAGGCCATACATTCCACTTCCAGCCTGGACCTGAACGAGTCTTCACCGGCACATTCTCCTGGTTCCCCGTTTGTGAAGACCTCGAATCGTGTGCCCGGCGGCAGCTCCTGGGCTATGCGGTCTTGTAGACAGATGGAGTAGGGGTGGGAAGTGTATCCCCAGTCGCAGTACCCGCTGGTGAGGGAGTCGCCAAAGCACAAGATGTTGCAGGGACGAGAAGTCATGGTGGTGGTGTTACTGTCCGTGGAGTTGCGCGGTTCGTTTTGGAGATCTCAGATCAATATCAATACAGTAGCAAATGGGCTTGGATGGAAGAGCATGCAAGGTGTAAGTTCACGGTGAAGCTGGTCAGTGGTCAGTCAGACAGGCACACTGTGCACGTTGCACGCTGTGGCGTTACACAGTTGGGCAGCTGCTCTACTGCGCCGCGCCAGGCCCTATCGTGAGGCACCTCAGGCGGCGACGCTTTGAACACGACACTCATAGGGTAGCAGATCATGACGATCCGTGTGGCTGAGGACTGAATGCGTGCATTTCATTCGTACATCGTCGTTCGGGCCATTAGGCAGTGTCTCCTCTACCGCCACCCTGTGCAAATCCACAACACCATAAACTCCAGATCCATGCATAGTATCAGGTACAAATCGGACGTCAGTCCTCAATATCGTCGTCGCTCAGTACGAGCTTCTGAGCCAACAAGCCGCTCATGGCGCCAGGCTTGATGCCAGCGCGCTTCTTCCTGGGGCTGGCCTCCTCGGATGGCTTGTCGGTGGCCCACGCGGCAGAAGCGTCGTTCTCCTCTCCATCCTCCGCATCGGACGCCTCGTCCGTAGGGGCATTCATTCCCTGAAAGGCGACCACTTTGTCGAGATCGCGCGCCTTGATTGGACTCTTGCCGGCGTGGGAGGACGAGCGTGCCACGTGTGCCATGTACGGCAGTCGTTCGAGCAGCATCTCTCGGCGCGCCGCACTTCCAAGGGATAGCAAGGGGATCGCATCGTCGTTGACCTTGTCCTGCGATTCCGCCAGTGAGCTGTCCACCGCTGACGACCTGGAGCTCTGCTGCTGGCGCTGCATCCACGACGTCTCCCCAGCCGACGAGCTCTTGGGTTTGCGGAAAGCACTCGCTCCCTCGGTGACATTCTTCGTTGGTCCTGTAAGATCGCCCTTCAGGAGCTTGGACGACCACATGTCCACCAGGCCTTCCACTTCCTCTCGTGCGCGCCACAGCTTGAGACTTTGCGGGTAGAACATTTTGAATGCATCGCTTCCACGAGAGCCATCTGCCTGCTTTCTGTGCACGGGGTTGGGCAGCGCAAAGAGCAGGCCGCGCACGGCGACCTGGAAAGTGATCTCGTCTTGCCGTAGGATGTGACTGCTCGCGTCCTGGCCGGCAAAGCCGCCTCGCCCGCCAAAGAAGACATCGCGCGATGGCGACAGTAGGTCGCTCTGTGACAGGGCCTCGATACATTCGTTGACGTAGTCGATTGGCGTGGAGAGATCCATCGCGTCGGTGCTTATGCACGAGGGAGCATAGTTCTCGTGCAGCGCCGAGATGAAGGTGTGCGTGTCGGTACCAGTCTCGTCCATCAGTGAGTCCACATCGACCTGTGATCGTTTCGGCCGAGACATGTGTGACAGATACGGAGGCAGCTTTTCCACGTCGTTGCCTGCGGCCGCTTCGTCTCGCTTGTTGTACACCACCTTGCCAACAGCGTGGAAAATCCCCAGACTCGCCTCGCGCTGCGAGATGAGCTCCAGACTGTCCGCCTCTCCCTTTGTCAGGCTTGCGCCGCCGTTGGCGCCCCTCTTTGGCTTTGTGAACGTCACCCGCGCGCCCCAGTCCGCTTCATCGTCGCCCTTCAAGCACAGAAACTCGAGCGACGAGATGGCGTTGCGAATGTCGCCAATCTCGCCCAGCTTCTGCAGAACTTGAGGGCCCGGCGTGCTTTTCCGACCCGACTTCCTGGATTCCTTCTGCACAATCAGACCCAGGGCCTTGGCGAGTAACGTTGGGGCCACCGGGTTGAATTCGATTATGCCGACGCCAGGGTGACGCAGGATCTCAGGGCCAAGCAGTCGGTGTGCCGTGAAGCTGTCCGCCGATGCCGAAGTCGTCGTCAGTAGTGTCTCTGAAATGACCATGACCAAGGGCTTGATGGGCTCGCGCTGCGACTGTTGCGTGAAGACGGACAGGGCTGGCACGTGTTCCGCCAGGTACTGCAGTATCGACTTGCGAAAGGCGGACAGCACCGTCGAAGTCCTTGAAAATGTGTTTGGAAACTCCTCCAACAGCAGTATCCGGTTCACATTCTCGCTATTCGTGCCTCCGTAACTTCTGGCCTGCGTTTGCGATGCCGGCTCGTCGTCCATGTCCAGCGCGCCAAACTTCCCACCCTTGCCCAAGAACTCGTCAAACCTCGCCGACGCCGAGACGAAGCCGGAGCTTGCATTGTTCGTCGGGTTCTTCCATTCTAGAATCTCGTAGCCCATGCTGTCTGCGATCAGCCGCAAGGTCGTTGTCTTGGCAGAGCCAGCCGGTCCTTTGAGAATGAGGATTCTCTGGCGCATACGGCCGGCCATGACATCCTGCAGCCACTTCCGGACATCGCCCACCTTGCGCTTGTGCACGACGAGCTCATCGAGGTTTCTGGGACCGAAGCGTTCGGACCATGGTCGCTGATCCTCGCCGGCGTTGTGTTCCGCATTATTCGGTTTCGTCGGCTTGAGAAATCGCTGGCTCGAGCTCACGCTGCTAGATGGCGCTGTCTGCACTTCTTTTCGCAACCTCTTTCTTGCATGCTGCCCGACCAGGCTCGAAGAGCTGCTCTTGAGCTCCGAGATCTCGTCTTCGGAAATAGGGTCGCTCAGTAGGTCGTCGATCGCCGTGGGCTTCTTTGGCTCGCGCTGCGCCTGTTTCGAGAAGAGGGTCTTCAAGTCGGCCGTCTTCGCCCTCTCGTCTCCTTTGCCAATGTCTTTCGCGGTCTTCTTCGAGCTCGGGCTTCTGCCGTTCTTGGGTTGCGTCGACCCGCGCGTGCTGGCTCGTGTGGTCCCTCTGCCCTTGCTAGGACTTGGCGATGGCTGGGGAACTCGGTGTTTGGTGGGGGACGAAGGGGAGGAGACCAAGAAGTTGGCAAGGGTGTTGCCTGCGCGAGGCTTCACGTTCTCGTCATCCGAGTCGTCGAGGTCGGTGCGCTTGAGGCGCTTCGCAGGCGGAGCCATCAGCGCGGTGGGAGGGGTGCAAAGTCGCGATCCATGGGGTGAACAAAGTCCCGAAGACACTGGTATGACAGACGTTGCGATTGTCTTGAGCGTGGAGTGGACGGACTTGCACGCGACGAGGACCGTGAACGGGCGAGGTGCTCAGCTGGGACGGTGCGGCATAGCCCTTCGCATGCCAGTAGACACTGTGCGACTGAGGTTCGACATGCCCAGCTCGGTCCAACATTGACATGGAAAGGACAATCGAAGCCTATTTCAAAAGAAACGCCGCAATATTTACTTAATGTCATTCAAGATTATTGTTATTTTCACGGATCAATCATGGCATTGCCAAGTGCATCCCTATAGACCTGTAAAAAGAGATCACGTTTACGCTGATGAACAAGCCATCAGATAGTATATCATTCTCATTCATACAGACTGCCATTGTACGTCCTTTTTCATACAAACACCCAATAGCCATGACTGTGGCACAGCTTCCACACTCCGTATCGCAAGCGTGTCATATGGAAAGCTTTTCAACAACCACCTCATTGCTTACCTGTGGCCACCTCCCCAATCGAAACATCAAAACGTCCATCCATGGAAATTGTCGACAAACGTCACTGCAGCACGCAGATAATGCTCGTGAACATCCCCCCATGTCCTGGCCGCCTCCTTCATCGCACGAATAGCTACCACGACTGTTAGTCACACCCTCTGGCCCATCAGACTCGACTCACCTTTGACATAATGGGCATCCGTTGCGTACGGCGACTTGAGTGCCTTCTCCTCGACGTAGCCCCAATGCTTCTGTTTGATGTCCTTTTCCACATTATCAGGGTCAATGGTCGGGCGGCCCTTCATGATGAACATGGCGATGACGAGCAACCACCATTCCCTGACGAGGTTGATGCGGTGCTGTTTGGGGAAGAAGGGCAAGAGGATCCGCACGGCGTGGCTCGTCGTGAGCAGGTGGACCAAGACAAAGTTGAACGAGTGCGTGCCAGGCCGGACTGTGGCGACGAGAAGAGCGACTGCGGCTTCCTGGGACAGCTCGAACTGCTTCTGGGGGTCGTCGAGATTCCATCCATTCCAGTACTCCAAGACGAGGTCTTCGTGCTTCTCCAGGATCGACTCCAGTTCGTCAAATTCGGGATTCTTCGGGAGACTGTCGAAGCGTTTATCGGAGCACATCTTGTTGAGCAGTTCGAGGGGTGGTCCGTTCAATGGCGATGGTTTGGTATATGCTTTCTCATCAAGGTATTTGTTCAAGAAGCAGTGTTGGACTGCTGTGAGGGCCAAGGCCTCCATCGCCAACTCTTTATTGTCCATTTCATAGGCATAGCCCAAGTGAATGAGGGGATGGCCAACTGCATCACCGTCAGTCCGAGTCCATGTGCCCGTCCGGGCTGTACTTACGTCCACAGATCAGCCCATGGTACAGCGGTTGATCGCCCTCGAACATGAAATGCTCCACGACCTTCTTCCAGTCATATGAGAATTCCATCGCGAGCTTATCCTCAAAGTAGTCAAGGTAGGCCCTCTGGTAATTTTTATCGCCCAGGAAATCCCGCCAGTCCAAGTCATTGAGTTCCGCCGGCGACGGGCGCCAAGACTCGAGAGGCTTGATCTGCTCATCGTATATGTGATTGAGATGCTCTTGGTCGGCTCCAAGCAGATATGCCGAGCACAGGATGTGTGGGTTGTGATTGTCGTACTGCAGGTTGTGGTAGACGACGGAATAATTGACGTGGTTGGCCTTGAGCAGGTGCTTGAGACAGCGGGCTCGTCGGTCCGGGTTGGTCTCGACGTTATGGATCTCGACGCTGGGCAGGTTGATCGAGCCCGACCGGTCGGTCGTCCCTGTAAGATATGACAGTATACCAGACATTGTCGGTCACTTTCTGTGTTGTGTATGAGATGGAAGTGAAGACGATGGTATGACGTTGAGTGGTTGAGGGGATCGTGTAATTGTTGGGCTGCCGGTTTTGTTGGAGAGTGGCAGCGCCCAGGTCCCGAGAGTCAGCAGATTCAGCAGATTGACTGCCAGACAATGTTGATTTTTTTTTTCGAAGCCGCAGTCAGTACGATAACAAGAATTAGACTCAATTGTTTGATTTTCGAAATAGTTGCGTTGGCTGTGTTGACGAGAACTCGGGCGACAGTGAGCTGAACCGTGGAGAAATACATCTACCCTGAACCTCAAGATCTAGAGCGCACGTCAAATGCGTGGACCCACTATTCTGCAGTCGCGGTACGTACTTCCGACTAACCAGAGACCTCACCTCGTCCTCTCTTCATCAACAGACGCAACATGACAGCAGTCAGCAGTTCCCCCTCGGGGATCCTGATCTATGCCGAGTTTCTATCGAATATACGACAAGTGTCTATCGCAGTAAACCTCACTTCACCTTCCAACGCAGACACAGCCGCAGAGGTCACCCAGGGAGGCACGGCTTTTCGCGTCCAGCATGGCGGCCTCACGCGCGAAGTCTTGCTGCCGGAGAGAGTGGCAGTGGCGTCAACTGTGCCAGTGGCACCGTCGACAGAGAGTCTGAGTTGGAGGCTGCCGATTTCGTCGAGGCTGCCTAGTGAATCCCTCTTCTCCCTCGAGAACCAGGCATTGCCGTGGACAGCCACCGACTTGCGACCAGGATCCTCCGTGGCCTGCAGAGCATGCGGCAACATTTTTGTTCAAAACGGGAAGATCTCACAATGGAAAGATCTTCCTAGCGAGAACTGGGCCGAGATGATGGAGTTTTGGCACTGTCATAAACCGCACGACCACGACCATGGACACACCAATGGGGACGCTGAGGAAGCTGACCTTACGAAACGTGGCTATGGTGCGAGCAACGCCATTTCAGCACAAGAGACTGTCGGCTTCGTCGATATTACCTCTTTCATGTTTACAGAGTCCGATTGCGACGGAATCCTAGTAAGTTTCCCCTCTTAACTGCGTTGAACCTACTGGGGAAAAAGAAGTTGGCCGCGTCGGCTACTACCAGCCCGTAATGACATGGTCATCGATACAACTCCCCAAGAGCAATCTTTCTCGTCGTCCCAGCCCTGCGCTGGCAGTGCATCTCGCCGCGGCACCCTTCCTCGGGAATGGGTTCGCGCGCGCTCGACCGTACTGAAGACAGCATTTCTATTTCATCCGATCGGTCAGAGAAGTGACCGCGTGGAGATTTCGAAAGGCACATACCTGCCCCAGCCAGATGGCACTTTGCAGGGTGATCTAGCCCCGGCTAACGATGCCAGTTTTCCTCCACCACGTCGGGAGGGCAGCAACACGATGCAAGTGCACCTGGTATCGGTGACTCGACCAAGTTCCTGAACGTCAGCTGCAAGAAGTGCAATGCGCAGGTCGGGTTCTACAGCATTGTCGCATCCTCCGTCTCCCTGTTCAAGTGGCAGGTCGCGACCGAGACAGCATCTACGCAAGCCATGCCGTCGACCGAGCAATGCCTCGCCGCAACGCTGACTGCGACGATCTCGCGCTCTGGCTGTTCAAAGTCGGTCATACTCCCGCAGAAACTTGAGGCAGGCAGCGAGGCCGGGGGACAGCGGGCGTTGCACCTATGGGCGCTGAACCCCAACGTCACCTACACAACCTCCCAAATGGAGGGAAAGCGAGAGGCGATGAAGATTCTCTACCAATGCATCGATATAGACAAGGCAGAGAAGATGGCCGAGTCTATGACGTCCGACGTTCAGGACATCAGCTTTCCAGAGGCTGTGATTGCGACAGCCTTGGAAGCGCTCGAGTCCAGCAACTCATGCCTTCCTATGAAGGAGAGGACGTTCAGGGAGTGGAAGGTTGGTTTACTTTCGCGCTGGAGCGTAAAGTAACTCAGATATATGACAAATGCAAGTAGATTACCATGCACCGCAGGTGATGGTGCTTCTGCAATGTCATCTGCGGGCTCTGGTGCACAGTCCAGACACTGTGATTTGGGTATCTATGTACAGTGTGCGCACAGTAAACGCATTCAGAGCCGTCTGATGTGACTTCCAAGTGCCAACAGCCATCTTCATCTGTTAACGCCTTGTCGATCCAACAAGAGGCACACCCTCAACGCGAGGCAAACTTTTCTACATCATCTCAACTTACGTTTCACAACCGCCCGCACCCTTTCCTTCACACTCTGACCCGCGAACCGAACCTTGGCTCTCCCTGAGCAATGCATTGGTCATCTTGACGGCGATGAGCGGACTGGGTCACGATGAGCGACCTATCGCCAAGCGCTTACCTTCCTATCGGAACACTTCATGTCGACAAAGAGAACTCCAACCTATCTCCAGAACTGCTGGTATCTCCACTGTTCAAGTCTTGGAGTTTCTTCGTTCACCCGCGTGACGAGCCTCCCATCACCAAAGACGATGACATACTCAAGGCAGAGGCGCAGCGTCGTCTCCTCACCACCGATACCCTGAAGCCATGCAAGACTCTCTTCTCCAATCGATGGATCAGACTTGAGTACAAAATCTGCGATACCCGCTGCACCGTTCGTGTGTACTGTCTCCCGGATGACGTGCATCGCGCCCACCTTGACCGCAGCAGTCTTTCGCATCGGCAAGCTCGACAATCCATCATTGCCAGACTCGACACATCTAATGATTCTTGGAATGGACACCAAAGCCCCGGAATACCTGAGCCGCTTGATCCTGAGCCTGGCCGCGAGCCTCCTTCGCTGCTGCATCTATTCAATACCATACCTTCACCCACCCCAAAAGCTCAAGATATCAGCGATCCAACAAGCCGAGAAGCCATGGGCTCTGTACTCAGCAGTCAAGTGGATGGTTTAACTTCAGAACTTTATCCGTACCAGAGGCGATCAGCAGCATTGATGCTACAGCGCGAGTCCTCACCTGGATACAATGTCGATCCTCGCCTCCAGATGCACACAGACATCCAGGGCAAACCATGGTACAACGACAGCGGTGGCGGTACCATTCTGTCCGAACCTCGTTACTATGAGGGTGTACCCGGTGGTATCCTCGCCGAAGAAATGGGCTCTGGCAAGACCATCATTTGTCTTGCCGTCGTCCTGGCGTCGAGGGTTGTTGCCACCAAAATACCGGACATGTATGGCGTTGCCCCGGCCCCAAGGCGGCAAAAAGGCACCTCTCTGCTCGACATGGCGGCATCGACCGTGACTCGCCATGGTGTGCCCTGGAGACCGTACTTTGATGAACAGGCATTTGGCCAGTGTGTCGAGGCTCTCAGGCGGAATCCCGGCTACTATCTCAAACCAGCTCCTGAGCCTCGGAGAATGTCGAGGCACCGTCGCGAGGATGGTTCTACTCCGCCGCCAACCAAGATCTATCTCAGCGATGCGACTCTCATCCTCGTGCCCCGGAATTTAGTGGCGCAGTGGACGCAGATGATACGAAAGCATACAGAGGGCCTTATTGTCCACGTCGTTGCCAAGACCGATCCTTTACCTTCACTCCAGATGCTGCTGAATTGCGACCTCGTTCTTTTCTCACACAGTCGCTTCGAAGAGGAGTACAGGCGCGGCAATATCACCGACGGTCTGCTAGGTCAAATCCATTTCAAGAGGTGCATGATTGACGAAGGCCACAAACTCGGCAACTCATGGCTAGGGCGCCGAGGTGACCTGGCATCAGGCCTCAGTAACATGATTTTCGACTACCGCTGGGTGGTGACCGGAACGCCCTCGCAGGGGTTGTACGGTGTAGACCACAGCGGCGCTGACGAGAAGCCCTCGCATCCGTCTGCGCAGATGGAACGAAGGGACCTCACGCACATTGGCATGATGGTGTCATCGTTCCTGGGTGCTCGCCCGTGGGCGAACACGCAGCACGAAGTAGGCGACACCCTGGCGGTGTGGGACAACTATGTGATGTTACCCAGGCATAAAAAGGGGTGCCATGGGCGATGGGACACCCTGAAATCCACCCTGGACTCGCTCATTGTGCGACACCGCTTGGGAGATGTGGTCGACAAGTTGCCGGCCGTCCAGGAGAATGTGGTCTATCTGGAAGGGTCCTACCAGGATCGGCTCTCCTTACACATTTTCTCCATGATGATCATCTCCAACGCCGTGCAGTCGCAGCGCACGGATCAGGACTACTTCTTCCACCCGCGCCAGAGGAGCAGTCTTATCTTAATTGTCAGCAACCTGAAACAGGCCAGCTTCTTTGGCGGCTCGTTCTTCAACTCACTGGAGATTGAGAAAGCGGTCGAGACGGCTGAAGAGTTCCTGCGCAAGGGAGAAGTTGAAATCTCCGCCCAGGACGACGCTCTACTACGCGATGCCATCCGCTTCGGCCACCTGGCGGTCTCGAATTCCCTGAGGAGGTTGAGCAATCAGTTTCATGAAATGCCCGTGCAGGTCGAAAACTTCCCTGCAGGCGCCGGTCACGCCTGGGCTTTGGGCGATGACGACGTCTACGGTACCAAGGATGGTGCGCGTAATGACTCGATATGTACTTCGGCCAGCCTGTTACTGCACCTGCAGAAGCTTATCCACAAGACTTTGGGCGAACCGGACAAGTTCAACGCTCTGCTGAATGGTGGCCTGGTACAGGCAGGCGCAGCAGAAAAGGCAAAGATGTTGCAGGCACAGTCGCCCGACAGAGCATCCAAGCCGTCGAATAAGCAGTCTAAGAGTCTCGCGGGGAACGTGCGGCTTGGTGGGGATAACGCACACAAAGCTCGATCACACGGCATCAATGGCATTGATCCCGTCGAGAGCGCCAGCGATGAAGTGTCCATGAGGCCTCTGGAGAAGGTGAGGATCACTGCTACGGCGTCGGCAAAGATGTCGTATCTGCTAGATCAACTGGCCATACACCAGGAGGACGAAAAGATACTCGTATTCTACGAGAACGACAATGTGGCATGGTATTTGGCAAGCATTCTGGATGTGGTCAGTAACAGCCTCCTTTCTTGGCTGGCCCCTTTCAGACACTAATGTGTATCCAGATGCAAATACAGTACCTGATCTATGCCAGGACTTTGAGCACAGACAGGAAGGCACAGTATGTCAAGACATTTGACTACAATCCAGCATTTCGGTAAGGTTCCTTGAGCCCTCCTGCTTCGAAGATGGTACTGACATGTCCCAGCATCTTGCTCATGGATATTACGCAGGCGGCTTTTGGGCTTGACATGCAGGCAGCCTCGAGAATCTACTTTATCAACCCGGTGCTGAACCCCCAAGTCGAAGCGCAAGCCATTGGACGAGCGCGCCGTGTCGGCCAGCAGAGGCCCGTCACCGTGGAGACCTTGGTGCTCAAGGGCAGCATTGACGAAGTCATCCTCGAGCGCAAGCAGCACATGACACAAGCCGAGCATCGGCAGGCCAAGTCCATCCTCGACATTCGTCCCATCTACAACTGGATCAAGAATGCCAAGATCAGCGAGCTACCCGAGGTGGACGCAGAGGAGGTGTCACAGATGGCCCCGTTGCAGTATGCGCACCACGTCTTTGGCCGTGGATTCGGCAGAGCCACGCACCCAGACGATGATCTGGTACTGAGCAGCCCGACCGGCAGCAAGAAGATGGACTTTGCCCCGCAGGGCGTCACGAATGGTACGAAACGCAGTCGCGAGGACGGTCCTGTTAGGTCAGAGCCAAAGGGAATTCGCTTCGCGATTCGCTCGACAGTGCCGACTGCGACGGACTTGAACGAGAACACTGATGGCGTCGAAGAGGATGAGAGTCAGCGTCCAGCTCGACGCGTACGATTTGGCTGAGCAGATGATCAGATTTGAATTGGGCATTATAGGTTATTAGCGAGGCGTTTGTAACGGACTTTGAATGAAAGGTTTGATATCTGGGAATAGTGCTGAAGAGTCTCCTTGAAGCAAGGAGACTCTTCGCTGCCTGCAAAGACGACATTCTCTCTCTGACCGTGCTCACTTGGCCGAGCTCATCCCCAGGACTTCTTAGCGCCATGCACAGCTCAGAGAGCTTGAGAGCATACGCTTTGCTACAGTGGTAACATGACTCGGTAACCAGGGACTATGTCTGGATGTGTTTCGCCCGGGAAGGTCTGCTGCATAGTCGCGGCCAATCTTCCGGACATTACCTCCCGCCACTCGAGCTGACAGCGCTGAACAGTGAGGTCAGGCCCAGCAGCGCCTGGTTAAGGCTTTCATAATGGGCAATGAGTGAATGAACCCTAGGCCTGCCGCAGTCTGTGCCGACTAGTCTAAAATCTAGTTTGACACCAGACCAGCCTTCACGCCGCAAGACCCCTCCCCCTCCCTCCCTTCCCCACGCACGACAGACGGACAAGCCCAGCCCCTCGCAGTCCGAGCTGGACGCTGTGTTCATTGCCGCAGCTTCATCAGATGGCTGCACAGCATTGCCAGCGTGTATTGTTGCGTGAGGGCCGTGGAATAAGTAAGGTAGAAAGAAGGAAGAGGCTATGGGTGCGAGTGCGTGAGGCAGGGCGCGGGGTGGCGGGGGTCTCGGGCGTCGTTTCGAATCTTTCGATCGATAATTGAAGCAGCTTATGCATCCAGACCAGGCACACCCTGCTTGGCATCGCGTGCGCTGCCGCGCATGTGCAAAACTTGGTTCAAAGTGGTCCCGCCAGCCTCATGATTCTGCATCTTCCCACTTTTCGTCGTGAAAAGGTGGCCAGTGAGCCGCCTGTGCGGCTCTGCTCCATTGTTGGCGACAGTGGTCGAAGCACGCTGTTTGTTGCGCGCATGGGTATTTGGGAGGCAGGACGGGACAAGGCGAAATAAAGCGACCACGAAGGACGTGGTCAACAATTACACCCTCACATCATCAGATTATCCCACCACATGTGCAGTCCGTCGGTCACTCGTCCAGCCAGTCAGTCAGTCAAGTCAGCCAGCCAGCCAGCCGTCGAGATGCATGTCTGAGAGCCTTCTCCCCTCGACGCTCCCTTCTCGGCTCTTTCGAACCGCCTCGCTCGTCTCGTGTCTAATTGTTCGTCCTGGTTTCGAGTACTTGTTGTACGGCAACGGATCAGCGTATAGGCGGATGGTCCTGTCCGCTCGCTCGTCTTGAGGTGTCGCAGAGCCTGGCGCTTTATTAGCTGCATTGGCCACGTCTTGCTGCAGAGGCGATCAGCAATCGGCCAAAGACGACAGAGGCAAAACACGGTCTCGCAGGTCAGACGTCGACAACAGAAAGACAAAAGGACAGCATTTCGGCTCATCGCCACGATGCATCGCCTCTTTGGTTCGACCAAGCGAAGTTCGCTGTCCGTGTTGGAGGACAGGAAGAAAAAGGCAGAAGCAGAAGACATGGAGCTCGACGAGGTGGACAAGTGCCCTCCAGCAGCAAGAGCTGGAGCAGCAGTAGCAGCAGCAGCGACCGGCAAGGGCCACCGCCGGGATCGACACTCGGCAGATCTTTGGTAAGGAGCCGATCTTCCCTTTTTCAACGCGTCGCGCATCTTCTTCATCACATTTGCTGAATTTCCCCTGCCCATCCTTTCACATTCGATTTCCTCATTTCCCCCAGCATGCACCCTCTCTGTGCACGTGCCTCCGATTCACTAGTCTACCTAGCTCCAGGACCAGTCGCCAGGCCACGCCAGCAGCCAGCAGCCAGCTACCTAGGCGAGGCGAGGCGAGGCTAGCCTTGGCCAGGGCCCAGGCTGCCTGCCTCGACTCTGGAGCCCTGGATACGAAGGAGGGTCTCCAATGGATTCCCCACACATCTCAGAGATGAACGCACGCACCTGCGCGGCACTGACATGGGCCAAGGCTGGTGATTTCCTGTCTCGGTCGGTGCACTGGTCTCTGTGTGTGTGTGTTTCTCCTCGAGTCCTGAGGAGCATCAACACTGCCACATCACATACACCCATCCATTATGAGTCCAAGACACGGTCGACGCAGAGCTTCCCTGCCGCCTTTGCACCAGACCAAGAGCGCTTCCCTTGGCCTCACTCACCGGAGGCAATTAGCAACCACTCAGTCACCCAGCGTGGCGTGGCGCGGCCCCTGAGATCGCCGAGGCGGGCCTTGCGCTAAGGGGCCCTGCCAAGCAGCAAGCCACCAACCCAAGCGGAATTGACGGTGCTGATCTTGGCCCTGATGAGATGAGCGCTCTCGACACTCTTTTCTGGGCATGGGGAATCATCTACACGACTTTGTTTCCCATATCCCACGCTCCTGTTGCCACGGGAAACCCCTGACTCCAGTCGACTCGGCTCGTTTCCATTTTGCCTGCGTTGCTTGTTCTCTTTCACATCTTTCATCGTCTTGGAAAAAGGAAATTTCTGGCCCATTCTTTCATGTACACTAACGCAACCTCTGGTTCAGCCGCAGACCCAACAAGCTACAGACCAAGCGAAAACGGCCCTCTTCCACGTCAAGCTTGGCAGTGCTCTACTATCACCAGCAGAATAGCATCGCCAGGCAGCCACGGCCTTCAATCGACGAGAAAAACACACCAATGGCGCGGACAGTCACCGTGCCGCCAATCCAGACACCTCGTCTGGACATGGTACCCGGCTCCCCGGTGAACAAAAACCTCTGGGCCATTTCAGAAGATGCAGTCGACGACATGACCGAGACGCCTGATACACCCAGCAGTCCCATGACAAACTATCCCATATATCCCGGCCTGCAGACCTTCTCTGGCAAGGTGCCAGGCACGCCACCACCTACAGCCCTGAATTCGCCGCGGAAACTATCCAACAGTTCTGCGACCACCGTTTCGACAATCTTCTCGCGCGAATCGGTACGCTCAGAGCTCCAGCGCTCTTCCTCCTGGGGCAGCAAGACCAGCATCGAATCTCTCGAGTCGAATGGACAGTGGAAGGTCACGAGCGGAGGGTACCGTTTGCCGCAGCCTCTGAGGAGGAGGAGGACCAATCCCCTACCGAACGAGCTGTTCGAGGCCCTGCCGGGCGAGGTGCTGCAATTGATACTAGACAATCTCAAGGAGGCACACCTGGGTGGCAGCAAGACAAATGGAGAAGTCAGCTGTGCGACTTGCTGGCAGCGAGATCTGTGCTCCGTCGCGCTTGCGTCCAAGCGCTGGTGCATCTACGCGCGGGCTGCTCTGTGAGTTGCCAGGCACGAGACGGCCACGACGTCCAAGTACTAACACTTTCAGTTACGGTGACATTCAACTTGTCGGCCCGGACTCCGCCTCCCACAAGAAGCGCTTCAAGACCATCCAGGGCGCAAGGCTGCTTCTGCTTCGCAGGACACTGCGCTCAGAGCCTGACCTGGCGGCTCACGTACGCTCACTCAAAGTACCCAGGCTCGACGCGGCAGCCAAAGGCAACACCAGCAAGACCTTGGAGCAGTACGACGATCTCACAGCGACTCTAGTCATGGCGTGCCCCAACCTCGAGCGCCTACATGGCCACGCAACATCTTACGACCACTCGCACAAGAAGATCTTCCACGCCTTGTCCACGCGCGCCAAACTCAAGCAGATGGACTGGGTCATTGAGCCCTCTACTCTGCAGAAGCAAAAAGGCTCACAGACCCGCCTTGCCAACGGCCTCGTCATGCCGGGCGAGCTCTCCCCCGTTCAGGAAGGGGCTTTCCTCGACCACCATCGCCGCTGGTCGGAGCTCACCAGCCTCTCGATACATTGTCTGCCTGGCGCCACCATTACGCCAGACTCACTCCTCACCAGAGCCCTGAGCATGCTGCCCTACCTGCAGCACCTCCATCTCTGTAATCTCCCACCCAATGCCTTCAACGACGACACTCTCCTCGCCTTGCCGCCGCTGCGCACCCTCAGTCTCACGCACATAACCGGCATCACCTCTAGCGGCCTCTCCTCCTTCGCCACGCGACCCATGAGCCAGCCGCTCCAGACTCTCCACCTCCGTCACACGCCACTCACCTCCCTCGCGACCCTCACACGCATCCTCTCCAACCTCGCCTGCCTCACCTCTTTCTCCTTGGCGCAGGCCTTCCCGCCCCTCATGCCCGAGGTGGACTCATTCACCCTCTGCCTCATGCCGTACCTCGCCTCCGCCAGCCTCAAGAAACTCCACTGGGACATCACCTCGCACCGCGACTGCGCCAACGTCGCAGACGACATCCTCGCACGCTCCATCGCCGCGGGTGGCTTCCCCGCCCTGCGCTCCCTGCGCGCGCCCAACGATCCCGACGCCGTCTTCCAGCAGCTCTGCCGACCGGTGGACCGCGTCGATCTGCCAAGCGATCGCTTTTGCGCCAGCGATATGACGACCGGTGGACCACTGCCCAAGTCGCCCTCGTTCGAGTCATCGCCCATTTCCCCGCTTCAGTATCTTTCCTTCTCCCCGCGGACGCCGTCCACGCCGACGACGAGCGGACTCGAGCCTGTCCCCCTGAGCTGCACAGACCTGAGGCTCGCGCGACTCGCAGCTCAGACTCGTCTCGAGAAGGCTCGCGCGCATCCCAAATTCAACGTTCTCGTCACAGACGAGGAGGGCGCGACCGTCGACACCTTCCAGCTGGGCGCCTACATGGGCACAGTGGGCAGCCCCATCATCTACAACCTCCTCCCTGATGCCGGGTCGAGCGACGACAAGGGCGGCGCGGTCGACATGCGCGACCTGATGGGCGACGCGGGTGAGGTCCTCTCCGGCGGCAGGGAGGGCTGCACAGGCGCCTGGAACAGGAGAGAGGGCGTGGTGGCGGACAAGAAGGAGAAGGAGAGGTGGTGGCACACGGAGCGTGGCCGATGGACCAGCATCGAGCTGCAGTAATTCGCATCTTTGGGAGTTTTGATTTCTTGTATATTCTTCATTGAAGGCCAGAGCCACAAACAGCGTCGCTCGCCTTGCGTACTCCATTGTTACAGGCGTTTGGGGCGGACGGACGGACGGACTTGGCTGTACACAAGAGTACAGAACACGGGATCCGGCGTCAACGGGATAATGCACATTGCATACATACAAAGTCACATAATAATCAGCCGTCGATACTCTTCATAGCGAAAGCAACGCACATGGCAATGTCTATTCAAATGATTTCGCCCGCTCGTGACAGAATGGTTCGTTCCTATTTAGTATCCAATTGGGTGTCTGTCCCTTTATCACACGTACCGAGCCCCGAGATTAATTATGGCCAGATTCTTTTGTTCAAAACTCCACACAATATGCAAAACATCCGCAATGTCGACACGGCACAAGGATAACAAGAAAGAACCGCAATGCAGGTCTCGAGCTTAGAAAAAGAAGGCCTTCTTCTTAGTGGACTTCTTCTCGGGCTGACCCAGGATGTCATCAAACGTGGCCCCGGTATTAGGGTCGTCCTGCGGGTCAGACGTGGGCGAGCCGAGCTGTGACGACTGGAAAGCGCCGACCAAGTTCCCATGCGAGCGCGTCCGGTTCCCGAGCATGGAGCTCATGGGACGGGGACCATAGGACGAGCTGCGTGCGTGGTTCTCGCCGCCGAACAGACTGGGCGGCTCCATTGGCACAGGCTCGAGACCAAGAGCCACACTGGACCTCCAGGCCTGGCTGGCACGGCTGGCCCGACTCGTCCGACCCCCTCCAGGGCCTCCTGGGGAGAGATTGCGCGGGCGCAGGGTGACAGGCGGCGACGCAACGCTGTCCGGTGGCGTCGAGGTGCCGCCCACGACAGAGGGAGGACGGCTACCCATCATGTCGTCCTGCATCACAGGCGGAGGAGGCTCCAAAGCTGGCAAGCCTGGGTCCTCCATGGGTAGGTCCGGGTCGGCCAATCCCTGCCACTTCTTCGCAGCGAGCCAACAGTGACTGCGGTGATAAGTGGCTTCCACGCTGAACAGGACAGCATCAGTAGATAGCTGCACCAAACCTCCACCCCCGGCTACCTCGTACCACATCTTCTTGACCTCACGATCCTCAATCCACGGAGGATTACCCATGGGTGGCTGGCAGAGGAAGTACTCAGACCCTTCCGTGAACTTGAGGCCGGGAGCGTCCACGACTAGCATGGGCAGTGACTGGATCACCACGTAGAGAAACAACCAATAGCCCATGCGCTGGTCGTACAGGTCGGGGGCCATTTTGCCCTTGGCCTCGCGCAGCTCGAACTCTTTGAACTTTTCCAAAAACGGCAGCTTGACGGTGTTCGCATCGTAGTTGTACGCTTTGTTCAAGATCAGGATGAGCTCGTGCTCTTTGATGCCCTTGTCGAACTTGATCTGGTCCTTGGCGGACAGGGTCGGATAGGTCTCGAGAACAGAGCTCATGGACGGCAATTGCGGGAGGTCGAAAGGAATAGGTGGCAGAACAGGTGGTTTGGATCGATCAAACTCGGACATTATGTTGCGCAGAGCCGAGGTCGTCATCTTGCCAGGCTCCTTTGAGATGGCCGGCACCTCGTCCATGATTCTGGATGTCAGGTGATCGCGATCCACGAGCAAGTCGTACAAAGCACACATGTCCGAGTAGAGCATCTTCAGCACCAACCTATTCAACCCGCTTTCCGCAAAGGGATTCTTGCTGCTGCTGGCTTTTGGTGGCCAGTTGCCAAACGTGGACTTGTAGTGGCTGAGCACGAATGTCCGCAGCTTGTTGAACGAATGCCTCCACACCTTGAAGCGAACGTGGCGCAACTCCGGGATGGACGTCGAGTTAGCCAACCCGGCGAACAGCGACGGGAACTCGAAGTGCTCGATATGTTGGTTCACTCCGTGTTGGCGATTGAGAAGATCAAAATGAGCTCGCTCAAGCTGCTGCCGCGTATGCGGGTTCACCTCCTGGTACAAGGGCAGCTTCAGATCCATAATAGCCGCGTACTTGCCTGCTGCGTGGGCAAACGCCTCGCTGTACAGATCCATATTCCGCATGCGTTCGCCGAGGATGAGGGCCTCAATCGTCTTTTCACGACTGTGGCGGCAGTCCGCTAGGCCGAGTTGGTCGATGTAGAACTCAAAGCTTAGGTCCACAGCGGTTCCAAAAGTCGCGCCATCTGGACTCGTGAAGCCAAATTCTTCCAGCAGGCTTGCAACCTGGAGAAAGACTTTGAATACAGTAGGTCGTGCCTTGGTGGCCACAAGGGGCTGCCCTGTGAGGAAGGCGAATAGATTCCGAGTGGCAATCAGTCGATCCAGGTCCTCATTTGACCCCTCACCGGGCGCTGCCAGCTGCCCAGAATCCGCTGACGGGGGCGCAGTCGGTAAGTACAGCTTCAGGTCTCCTGCATTGGACTCGGAGACGGAAGAGGAGCTGGGAGGCGATCGAATGCGCCCAGCATCTTCCGCCGTCAAGCTATTCCGACCGCCGAAGCTTCTCGCACGACTTCTAGTCCCAGAGAGGCTGTCGCGGTCGGTTTGCATCAGTTCGTTGAAGACATATGACGAGCTCACGGTAAACTCCATCACTTTGAAGGACGGCCCGCACCCGCTAGCCTGCGGGTACAGGTACACGAGGATATTGCCGCTCTCATTCCACAGCTCGGGTACCTACATGAATAAGATTAGCTTGCTTCAAATCTCGACATGGCCTAGTCTTGGCTTACCTTTTCGCCGTTTCGCAAGAGCGAAGGGTTGTACTCGGCGTGTGTCCCGTCAGTCAAGACCCATGCTTGCTGCGTGTTTGCTCCCTTCCCGTTCACATCCACCGAATTAGATCTCGACCTGCCTCCACCCGGCAGCCAACTGCGGCGAAGACGTCCGCGGAATGGACTCTGGCTCTTCGCATTTTCGGTAGGGGGCGTGGCTGTGACGCTGGGCACGATCGGTAGAGATGGGACTCGAGAAGGCCTGGGGTCGCCGGGAGCAGGTACCGGCGCCGGGATCTGGGCTGAGACGCTGCGCAGAGCTCGCTGGTCGGAGGCCGCTGGCTGGCTATGGATAGCAGACTGCAAACTCGCATGGTTTGAGCCGGATTTGGGGGCCTGCAGTGAATTGCGACGGGATCGGCTTTCCGGCAGCTCTTTGTGCAGCTTCTGCCTCGGTGAACCTTCCTTCGAAGCACTACCTGTCGTTGATGTTGAACTCCGCTGAGCGCCAGACTTCGGGGCTGACTCCTGCTGCATGACCGCGGCAATTCTGGGAGAAGGTGGTGCCGGTGGTGCATATTCGGGATGCGCGGGCATTTCTGTCGATATATAACCAGACGAAATCGGCGTTTCGATGAGAGGCGGCAGCCCAAGGCTCTGAAGGGAATCGGAACCTGGTCTCGAGGATATCGAAGACGTTTGTGACCCATTGGATGGTGCCTCTGAGATGTGTCTCAGCGGTAACGAGTGGGTGCTCATAATCTGGCCCGTTCGCTCGGGGCTTTGGGGGTCGTGCAGTCTGTATGGAGGCGGATCAGGGCTCGTGACGCTTGGACTTGTCGAGGAGTCGGACTTCGTGGAGCCAGCTATCGGCTTCCTGCGCAGGGAGCCCGACTGAGAATCTAGATCATTGGTAATGAGCGAGGGCATCAGAAAGGAGAGGCGATTGCTCCAGGTCTTCGATTTGTTCACAGGCTTGGGAGCCACTATCTCTCCAAGGTCCGTATCTCTGCGGGTAGGGGAATGCTGGCGTTCGGGCGAGGGCAATTCTCCAAAGCCAGTGGCACCAGTCGAACTTTTGGCAGCAGCAACGGTGGACTTTCTGCGAAGTTTTGCTCGTGGTCTGGTAGGCGTTTTGGTTTCGGCCGTAGGTGTAGAGGGTCGTGACGAGAGCGAGGAGAGGGAAAGAGAAGATAGGGAAGAAGGCATCAAAGACGGCCGAGAGGACTTACTCGAAGTCATGTTGGGCAACATGACAGGGAGCGTCGTCTCGTCGGTCTCGGTCTTGCCAGCTCTTCCTTCCTGACTGTGTTCCACGTCTTCTTCAGTCCAAGCCACAGGGTTGCAGGGAGACAAGGAGTGCTGCCGTGCAATGACTGAGCTTGGGTGGGAAGAAATGAACCAGCGGATAGTAGGGAAGACCCGAGAAGCGAGACGACGGAGGAGACGAGCGAGAGCGATACCCTAGGGGTGGTCTTTGTATCGGATCGGACGGTCGGACGAGGCGAGGGTCAGTCCCGTACCGCGCGTAGGTCGGCCGTGTAGGGGATTCTGTGCCACCGGGGAAGCACGTTTGCGGGGAGCCAGGCGGGCCCCAGAGGCTAGAGCGGATCGTGGCGCACAGAAGTCAGTCGTCCTGGACCGTTCGAAGGTTATTGTGGGTGGTGCCTACGCAGCAAGGAATTGAGTTAGCAGGTTGTGTCAGATGGCGAAGGGGATCCCTGATGGATCGGGTAAGGTACTTGAGAAGCACAGGCAACGCTCACCCATGCACAAGTATTGCTACTCAGTATTTGCTTTGCTCTCAGTCTAGCGTTCGTCAAAAAGCAATGCGCTTTTCCTTCTCTCTCTGCTAGTATATCTTTAGGACAGCTCGATCGGTGGCAGTGGCTGCAAGGACTGGATGGAGGCTGTGGTGGTGTGGTGGTGGTGGAGCGATGACGTTAGCAGAAAGCCTGAAATCGTAGTGGCTGTAGCGGAAAAAAAAAAGTTATAAATGGAGCAGAACTTCACTAGTGGAGCCGAGTGAAACAGGCGGCCAGCGGATGTATAAGAAGGGAAACGACACGGTTGGATCTGCAATTCCACGAGTCGGGACCTAGAGTTTTTAGAAGATATCATTCAATGAAGCACGATGGACAGGAATGCGGGAGGGAGCGATGCCATGTGGAGGGGATGCGCCCGAAGGAACTCTTTCCCCTTGACGTTGTGTCGTTGCATTCCAGCCAGGCACCTGCCGGCACCGAGAACAAAGCCTGCCCGCTATTGGCTGACACTTGTTGGATCTCAACAGCTCTTACGGTCTTACCTGCCTGCGCCCCAGTACTTACGGAGTACTTGTACGGAGGACGGCGTCAAAAGTTTTTAGTCGCGCTAATTCTATATATCGACGTAAATAGCTAGTTTTAGTATAAATTTACTAGCGCCGTTCCCCGCCCCTCGACGTACTTATTTCTACCCGCTAATTTAATAACCTTCTAAACTGTGACGTTCGGGTCAGACTAGCTATAGGGTAGGTAGATCTAAAGTCGGTTTATAAACTAAGTATACTAGGATATCGTTAACTTAAGCGGTCGGGTTATAGTCTATATACGAGATAGTAGATCTTACGTAGATAATTATATTAATAGCTAAGGAGCTAGTAAAGACTAATTATAATAAAGCTAGGCTTCTTATATACTAAGTAAATATTATATAGTCGACGATAGTCGACTATTATCTACGAGCGCCTTTATAGTATAGTCGACTATAGTCGCTAGTCGCCTATAGTCGTTTATTCTACGTAGTATACGGGTAACGTATAATAAGAGGAAAAAAGCAGGGGGTACGTAAGAGGCGTATACGGTTATATATCGGGTCGTAATATAATATCTCCCCTTCCGAGATTCTATCTTAGAATTAGCTAAAACCTATTAGTCGTTCTTCGTAAGTTGTATTCGGTAACTTCTTCCTTTTATTATACCTAACTATATATAGAAATATCTATCTTCTTATAAGAAAACTAACGACTCGTGTCGCGCTATCCTAATTAAAGCTATTCGTCTTAACGGTTCTAAGAGCGAGATACCCTATACTCGTTATTATCGCGCTAAACGCGTTTATTATATAAGTAGTAATTCCCGTTATTATATATCGTATATCGAAATAAAGAAGACTTATAATAATACTAGCGTAGCGTCGTATTATAAGTACTATACGTATTTTTCGTATATATACTAACCTATATCTTAGTAACGCGTATAGTATTTAAGTAGAAACGAGTAAAAGCGGATTTAGAAAAATCCGAGAGGGAGCTCTAAGAGGCTCTAAGGCGCGTTTAGTGTCTTCGTCGCTAATAAGAACTACTTCGAAGTCGGACCTTAGAGTTAGTATCTTATAGTATATATAAGTTAGATAAGGAGGATAGGGTATATTCTTAGGAAGAGGCTATTCTTAAGGAGTAGTAAGTAGTTAAGCGTGCTTAGGAGTTAGGTGCGTTTAGGGTTATCGATTAAAGCGTAATACCCGATATATTTCCCTTTAATAATACTATTATAATAGGTAGTAGTAATTCTTAAGGTATTTAGCGGGTTCCTATATATTCTCGCTACTTATATAGCCTTTTTATTTAATAAGGTATTTAACTTCTCCGTTTATTATTTATTTATCGACGATTCGTTCTAGTTCATAGAGTTCTTCGAGGACTTCTAGTTCGTAATTTATTTCTATATTTTATAGTGCTTTTTTAAGTAATAAGATATAAAAAACTAGGTATATTCTTATACTTAAGGGTAGCGAAAGCTTATAGTTAGTATCTAAGATAACCTTATCGATTTTAAATAGTCTAAGTTTTTTATAGTCGAGCTTTAGTAAGGGTCGAGTTATTATAAAATTTTTACGTAATAAGTAGACCGTATCTCCCCTCCGAAAGATCGGTCCCTTCGATCTTTTCTTATTATAGTATTTCGATATTTATATACGTACGAATTCGAGCTATCTTTTTATATATTTATATAGTAAGCGTAGTTAGTCTACTTTAAGTATTACTTTTTTAGTAAGAGGTCTATCCCTTAGTATTTTATTACTAAACTCGGGTTTATATCCATAGTTCGCGTAAAATAATAAGATCTTAATTAATTCCGTAGGTATATTATTATAGGCGAGTTAGGCGAGTAGTAACTTCGAGACCTAATTATTTTATTTATAGTTAATATAATACCGTAGGTACTATTTTAGCGTCTAGTTTAATCTCTCTATCTATCTATCCGTCTAGGGATAGTAGGCTATACTAAGCTTATACTTAGTTCCGAGCTAAGCTATTAGAGCTTACTAGAACTTCGAGGTAAATATCGTTCCTCGATCCGAAATAATTTCTTCTGGAAGGCCGTGGTTAGCCACGATATATTTAAGTACTATATATACGAGTATTTCTATATTTATTACTTTTTAGTATAGTAAGAAATATCCGAATTTACTTATTCGGTCTATAATAACGAATATATTATTATATTCGACATTAGATCTTAGTTCTTTTAATTTAGGTAGCTTCGTAATATAATCGAAAGCTATTAATTCCTATAGTCTTAAAGGCACTAATAATAGCTTTAGTTCTTTATATAGTTTATACCAGGTAGCCTTACTACGTATATAATCTTTATATTATCCGATAATATATACGATATTTACTTTAATTCCTTAATAGTTATATATTCGTTATATTCTCTTAAGAGTCTTCCTAACTCCTTAATATCCTGCCATAGGGTGCGTATAAATATTAATTAAGATTTTATCGCGTATTAACGGTAGTATCTAGAGTCGTTTATTCCTAGTAAGTCCTTTCCCTATTTCTATCGCATAGTCGTTAAGTATTTCTTTTCCGTATTTAGATACTTATTCTAGTATTTTATCGTAGTATACGGTATCTACTTCGACTTTATATATAAGGAGGTTAAGTACTATTTATATATAGTTCCCTTCGTTATTTTATTAAAGTATCTAGCCCTTTGCCTTTAATACTTCGGTATTATAATCTAGTCGGCGACTAAGTATATTTACTCTACTATTTTCCGATCCCTTCCGATAGATAATCTTAGTATTATATTCGGCTAGGAATTTAGCGTATCGTACTTATCGTAAGCTAAGTTCTTATATCGTAGTAAAGTAAGAGATATTCTAGTAATTAGTATAAACCTTAGTCCTAAATTTCGTCCCTAGTATATAATACTTAAATTCCTTAATAGCGGCGATAATTACTAAGAATTCCTTATCGTAGATAGGATAGTTTAATTCTATGCTATAGAGCTTCTTTAAGAAGAAAGCGATTAGTCGTAGGTTACCGTTATCGTCTCGTTAACTAATCTATACTCCTATAGCGTAATCCGATATGTTTATTTCTAATTCGAGTGGTTTTTTAGGGTCGTAGGTTATAAGTATAGTATTAGATATTATACTATCTCGTAATATCTCGAAAGCCTTCTTTTATTTTTCTCCGAACTAGAACTTTTTCTTACTTTTCGTAAGGTTTATAAATAGCGCTACGATTTTCACGAAGTTGTGTATAAAGCGCCGATAATAGTTTACGAATCCTACGAATACTTATACTTCCTTAAGATTGTTTTCTAATAAAGGCTATTCTCTAACTATATTAATCTTTGCTTATTTTATTAGGATTTTGTTTAGTTTAATTATATATCCGAGAAAGATAGTCTCTTATATATAAAACGCGTATTTTTCCGGGTTAATTAAGAGGTTCGTATCTTAAAATATTTTTAATACCTAATAGATATATTCCTTATACTCTTTAAGGTTTTCCGAGAAGATTAAGATATCGTCTAGATATACTATAATAAAGATATCTAAGTATTCCCTAAGTATATTATTAATTATTCGTTAGAAGGTAGCTAGAGTATTAATAAGGCCGAATAGTATTATTAAATACTCGAATAGACTAAACTTAGTACGGAAAGCTATTTTCTATTCGTCTCCTTTCTTTATATAGATTAAGTTATAGGCTCCTTTTAGGTTAAGAGCGGTAAACTAGTTCTTACCGTAAAGTCTATCTTTAAGCTCGTTAATAAGCGGTAAGGGTATCCTATCCTTAATCGTAATATCGTTAAGCTACCGATAGTCTATAATTAATCGTAGCTTCTTATTTTTCTTTAGTACGAATATAATAGGATATCTTACTTCCGAGGTAGAGGTTCGAATATAGCCTTTCTTAAGTATTTTATCGATATATTCTCGTAATATCTTAAGTTATTTTTAGTTAAGGTTATAGAGTTTATAGAACTTAGTTAAGGTTCCGGTTTTAAGATAGATTTCGTAATCTTACTAACTATATTAGGGAATACCTATTTCGAGGGTTTCCTTAAATAACTTACTATACTTCTTATATTCTAAAGGTATATTCTTTATTCGTTCTTCTTCTATTATAGGTTTTTTCTTCTTTTCTTCTTATAAAGCTTAGTTTACTTCGAATATCTTTTATATAATATTAGCGATAATTCGTTTTCCTTATTTATATCGTATACCCGGTTATAAAGCCTTCTCGGTTAATACTACGGCTTTTACCTACTTCGGCTCGCTTATATCTTCTTATAAAGATACTCTAGAGGCTAAGTCGTTACGAATATTCGCTTTCTTCTAATTAAATAGTAATTATCGCGTTATCGTATCTATCTACGCTAACT